ATAAATTTTGTAATATTAAAGTGAACACCACCGATGGAGAGATGGAAAATACCTTTTTTTGGGTGGAAATAGAAAACACCCTTATTATATCATAACGACTAAGTTAAAAAATCAATATAAATARTAGGGTCATTATCTAAAACTCTCCCTCACTTTTGTTAACTCACCTCCGGTTTTTTAAACCTCACAAGACGCCTTTGTCATATACATTTCTTTAGAGAAAAACCAACCTTTCGTCAAGTCTAGGGGTGGATTCGAGTTGACCCGAGCCGAATAGTAAGAGGCTCGAGCTTGGGCTTGGTTCAAGCTAGAACCTTGAGCTCGAGCTCRATTTGAGAAAAATGTTTTATAAAAATAAAAAAAAATATATATATATATAAACATTTTTTATTTGATATTTAAAAAATAAATTATTATTATTTTTATTATATATATACTCGGCTTGCAATCCTCACGAGCCAAGCTCTATTAGGCGCATTTATTAATCAAGCCTATAAATTGGGCTCGAGCTCGGCTTGAAGCTCGGTTGAAAAGCCGAATTGAGCTCAAGTAGCTCGTGAAGAGCTCGACTTATGGCCACCCCTAGTCAAGTCACCATTATAATGTAAAGTTGTCCACATAGACGCTAAAATTTATTTAAGGGTTAGTTAATTAAATATATCCTATGCACACTTTTACTAAACTATTTAAGGTGATGTTTGGGGCCGATTTTTGAGAAATCGGTGCCACGTTAGAGCCACATTATCAATTCAAAAAGCACTAATTATTTTGGTGTTTGGTTGGTTGATTTTTGAGAAATCGACAAATTGGTCAGAAAACAATTATTAAAATAGAGCTGAAAAAATCAACAATTTCGATGATTCCTCTTCTTAGGCCGATTCTGACTATATTTTGGATGGTGCAGCATTTGACATGGATATGAGAGATAATTCCCATCAACACGAAAGTCATTGCTGATAATCACTACCAAACAAACTTATATCCGATTTCTGAGAAATTAACTGACATGGTAGCAATGTTACCAAACAAACAATTTCTCTGATTTTTTAGAAACCAGTGATCTCTGATTGAGTTGGGTCTCAATCAGTTTAGGGTCGGGTAGAACCAGTTCCTAAAATCGGAATCTACCTAATCGATTTAGGTTCATCGGGTTGGACCGGATCCATTGACAATCCTAAACATCTTCTAAATATATCTAATGGTTTCAAAAACTACTTAATTATACTCTATGGGATGGCCCCACTTGACTTATTAAACAAGATCTGTGTTAGTAGCAAAGTGTTTTGGGCTGTTATCAGACTCCAAATCTCCTGTCCACAAGAACTCTACCCACATCTACCCACAACACACTACCCCTGTGCATTAGAAACATCTCCCTGTGCATAATACCATATAGGAGGATGAGATGTTTTCCATGTGTAGCTGTGATGTTATGTGGGTAGATGTGGGGCAGGAGATCTGGACTCCGTTGTCACACACATTTTATATCTTTTTAAGCTTCAATTTTGGCCCCACTCCCTTAGCCGACAAACAAAGGAGGTGACCCAACCAGCATTTTCTCGAAAGCGGATTTGGTCCTCACAAAAACATCTTCACAACATCCTCATAGCCCCTTGCAGTCATGCATTGGGAATATCTCCCCATGAAAAAAAAAATACAAGAAGATGTTCCTAATGGACAGCTATAAAAGCCTATGAGTACAGTTCGATAGAATTTTGGTTCCCATTGATAAAGAACCCTATATTCTTTTTTTTTTTCAGATTTATGTGAGGTCCAATATAAAATTTATTTTTCCTGAGTATCGTTTACCTTATAAGTGTTAAGTGCATTTACCCTCGCTAAGATTGAGGGACAGTTTTGACTAATATATCATCACACCATGTAAGCCTTATCCCCACTATCATATGGGGTTCCCTACATTAATCCTGTTTTCATATCCATTACTAAATTATGGTTGCTTAAATAATTTCTTATTATTTTTATCAATCTCTATTTCTTTTAACTCCTTTAACCCATGAGTGATTAATTCGGGTTAACTGAACCCAATGACTGTGTACAATGTGTAGCGGGCTGTGGAGTAGGTTTCATGTATTTTATCATTGAATTTAGATTCGGGTTCTCCTAAACCATGCTCGTTATCATTGGTTCCACATTATCTGCTGAACAACCATTCCGTTCAGTTCATTCACCTTTTCAATTTACTTGGGCTGATGTGGATAGTCCGGATTAGCTGAACGTTAGGGGGCTGTAGAACCAATGATAATGCCCGATACCGATGATAAAATACATGAAGCTGGAATATTTTATGACTAGTGTGAATTCACAGCCTGCTGAACAGCTCTTGCTTTCATAATGTGGATGGGGCATCAGACTGGATCTGGATCTGGATTGCTCCAATTAAATTCTGATCCATATTTCTTTGAACGGAGAAATTGGTTATGATATCTGTTGAGTTGTATCTCAAAGCGTGGATTTGTTTCCTGATCCATATATTCATTTCGGTCAGTGTCAAATTATAAAGGACAATGCGGATATTTATGAGTAGGGTCGGCCATAGGACACCTATCCGCTCCATTACGTGCCCCATACGCAAGTAAGAAGTTTGGAACTTGGAAGCGATTCAAGTATCCGACAACCAAAACCAAACCCGTCAACGAGAGATAGGGAGCAGACTCGTTTCCCAGAAGGATTCCAAATAAACGGTTAAGGATTGCTTTCTGAATCATTTTCCGGACGAGTGAGGACTGGGGGGAGTCGAGACTACAGAGTTCAGATTCGAGCCTGAATTGTTAGTTGCAGACGTTTAGTATCTTCCTCATCAGTGTCTGGCGCTGTAGCATCATATATTGATAGCAGAAAACTTGGGGTTCCGGTGGGCGAGCCGAAGCATTCGCGAACCTCTACCAAAAGGAAACCACACGAGCCAAAATTGCTATCTTGCGCATGGTGTTCGTTTGAAGCACATCTGCTTGTCTTTGCATGATCAAAGTGGCTAAGAGAAACGTCAACCATTGGAACCAGACAAATTCAATAATGTTGACTCGGAGCAATGGATATGTATACTTTTTTGAGATGGGTAGAACATGGAACGAGTGACTGTTAGATAATTTACATTGGGAATGGAGTAGACGTTCTCTCTGGAGCTTCATAGCTGAGAAATTGTTGGTTTACCAACGATGGAGAGAACTAAAGATGAGTGTACGGCAGAAAAATCTCGCCCTAGTACTGAGTTTGATGAAGAAGTGCCAAGCGTTAGCTCGAATTTATACTTGGATCAAGTTGGGGAGGTCGTTCTTAATCTTAATTCAGATGGGTTATCGTGGAAACTGGTGGAAACCATGGATAATGTGAGTTTATTATCTTTCCTTCTGTGCGCACGGTTTTCTCTTCTTCTTTCTTCCCTCTCTCTCCTTTCTTGTTGAACTGTCACTTTTTTTGGTTAAGAGTACTAATCAGTCAATTGGTTGCACTTGTTTGGCAATTTTGACAAATGGGTTCCTTTTTTGTTTATATTTTCTTGTCGCTTTTAGATGTGCAGGTGGATTTTTTTCTATAGCATGCCGATACATTTTCAAGGAAATTAATCCATCTGGGGGAAACTATTGTAATTAATGCAACCCAATGAAGATATAAAATTAGAAATCTATTTTTCTCTTCTTAATCAGACAGATACAACACATATTCCCGCCCAATACATTGTCGCCTATTAAATGTTAGATAACAAGAACCTATTAATTTCAATTCCAAAAACAGTGATAAAGAATTCAACTTAAAAACTGCACTGAGTTCTGATGATGGCAATCCCTTCCATACCTATTAAAGAAACATTTTGAGTCTTGAACCCTCCGAGTCCCAAGATTGAGCATCAAAGCATTCTCCTTGCTTCTCCTCTGAAAGTATAAACTCTTGAATGATAACACTGACCTAGATTGTGTTTGATGCATCAAGAGAGAAACAAATAATCTTGGTTAGGTCCAAGAGAGAAGGAAAAGTTATTTTCTCAGAGATTATTAAATAAAGACTATGTTGAGCTGGTACGTATGAGGACTCCATAGCTTTGGTTGAAATTAGAAATTGCCAGTATATTTTGAAGTTAAGAATAAATCCAGAAACAGATGAACACACAAAGGGCTGTAGAATGAGTTGGTATTGCAATGAAGGTTTAAAATGCATGGAAGATGTTAATCCCAATTCCCAAATGGTTTTTATAAGGCTTAATTTGAGTGAGTTATTTAGTTGATCTTGGCCACATCATTGATTACAACAGTGTTACAAGATTGCCAATACATAGAAAAAAATACAAGTGGGAAAAGGTTTTTATATCCGTATATGAAAACAGAGGGATCAGGAGTTTCATCAAATGTCTTAAAATTAAGCTCATAGGACATCATTGGACTCTTTGATAGAATATTTGATTTATAAGATATAAATTGAGGATACACCACTATGGATTTTAGGCCAAGAAGATTGATCATTGAAGCAATTGATTTAAGGGGTTGATGGGAAGCTTAAAAGACAAAAAAGATTTTCATGGGATATTACTTAGAGAATGCATAAGATAGGTACCTAAAGAGATAATCCAGTAAGTTTTTATGAAGAACGAAGCCTCAAGCATCCATCTTAATATGGTTAAGGGCATTATGATGAATCAATAACTTGCATAAGAGTCTTAGGACATTTTGAAGAAAGAAACCTCAAGCAGATTTAATAACATGATTAAGAGCATTTTGTTGAAGCTGTAACTTGTACTAGAGACTAGAGTATTTCCAATCACAGCTGTTATAAAGAAAGGGCTGATGTTGAGCATGTATCTCTTCCCCATTATTAGGCTTCTTTTGTTTTGTTGCATCTGGTTTGAATTTAAAAGTGTTTGTCTGTAGTGTGTATTTGCACCACTATCTGGAGTAAAACTTGCACTTTTTTGGCCTTATTGAACTCACTGGTGTTGCAAATTTTCCTAAAAACTGATGCAGAGTTTGCATAACTTTCCTCTAACATTCATTCTCTCCTATATAAAGTGGAGATTACATCATTTTATTTACCATTATTTCTCCCAAACAAACAAAGCAAAGTAAAATCTGAAGAAAAGTGAACCAGAATTTGTACTCCACCTATTTGTTTGCATGACAAACAAATCGATTATGGATGAATTAAATAGGTAAATATAAAAGGTAATATTGTTTTCTAGTGGTCAAAACTACAGAGAAGGATAAATGCAAGTCAGAACTATGGAGTGATGCTTTAGAACCAAAATGAATCAAATAAACCAGAGTAAGAAAGATTGTATTTAGAGTGCAACTGTCATAAAATAACTCAGTAAAAAAAACTGAGAACAGATAAGGTTAATGGTTAAGAGATATCCTAAATCAATAATTTCCAATAAATGGTTTTCAAGTATAGAACTAAAGTCGTGCAGATGAAAGAGAAATTATTGCTCAGAATACAATGGCGCATGCCCAACACCGTTAAGGAACTTCTTCAAAGCTGGCAGATAAAGGGTAAACAAAAAATGGAAGAATGTATATGGTTTACGATACCACATTGCATCTGTTGGACCATATGGAATGAGAGGAATGCAGGGATTTTTGTAACACTATAAAACACTGAGAATGAGGTGCTCAGGAGGGCTTGGACCATAATAAAATCATGGTTAACCATAAACCACAACTTCAGGGAATCTTCTTACTTCACTCTTTTTAATTATGCTACACTGTTCTTGTAATTAAAATCTTTAGCTTTGTTCTTGTAATTAAATCTCTAGCACATATAGCCATACGGTGTATATCCCAATGTACAGATCATTGGTGTACATGGACGATCTTCAAATATTTTTGACAGATATACACATACTGTACCTGTTAAAAAATTATTCTTGATTTTGCAACGTGAGTATCTTTTGGTCATTCTCCTATATATAGCACTTGATTATACAGGAGCTAATGTACATATGTATATATATTTTGCACCAATACAAATACATTGAATTTCTTCTAAAATATGGTCAAAATGCATCTAAACTGTAGTATGATAATATTCTTATAGAACTAATTGTTGGCTAGTGGTAGCAAAGCCTCTTCCATCAACATGTAGACCATCATAGAATAAGAGGCTATGAGACAGAGAATGTCTTAAATGGTTTTATGTAGGTTCACATACAGTTTGCACTTTTTTGCTACTGGGGAGTGCATATTTCATTTCCTCTTTATGTGATAATAAATTGATGTTGAATTTCAGGATACATATCACAATATGCTTTGGCATGCATGGATACAGTGGATGATTAGGATATACACAAATATAGTGAGGAAATTCGTACAAATCCCAATAATGCATTAATAACAATAAATATATGGTTTAAATAACTGTACACTAGGTTTAAACACATTGGAAACTCATACTTTAATAGTGTATGTGAAGTGTTAACTATCAGGATACACTTGGGAGTTATGAAACTTTGATGATTTGAAAAAGAATTAAAATATGCATGTCTACCTACCTTAGGAAATCAAGACAAACAAAAGAATTAGTAAAATTTGGTTAAAGCTAAAACATAAAAAACATGTTATTTACACAACCTGTTGTGTTGTAGCCTAATGGTGTGCTTCTTAATTGTCAAGTAAATGGCCTGGGTTCTATACTTGTTGTTAGCTGCATTGTATAATTTATTAATATTAAAGAATTATGCAAAAATGGGGGCATCGGGTGATACATGAGGATCAGAGGATGCATGAAGTGATACGGTGATAACGGTTGCAGTGGCACTGAAATTGATATGGGGATGTATCAGACATATTGTATTGATATTTTTAACCTTCGTTAAACTCTAATTTTTTGTGAGATACATTCCTGCTATTCATAAGGCTACTTGGGACAATTTAACTTTCACTATCTAACCACTTATTTGTGTATGCAGGACATGGATGGATCTACTTGTTTTGGCATAAATCTCACTTCCAAAACTGAATCTGAAATAAAATTTTCTGATGTTTATGCTGTTGAGTTCATCAGTTGGGGTTTGATTCGTGAAGCAAATATTCCAAATGCTGGAGGATGTATTTTGGGTTGTGACTCTGAGGTTATAATCCATTCATTTCTTTGTTATCCTTTTTCTTCATTTTTGGGTCATTTTGTTGCATATGTTTGTAAGTGGATATATTTCTCTTTTTGATGCAGATGCATCGATTTGTAGTGCATGGGGTACAAAGGTCAAAGACCAGGGGTTCTGTTTGGATCCAGGCTATGTACACTTTTGGACACAAGGATTTGCAAACATGCCTGACATGGATGAATCAGATCAATGATTATATAAATAGGGAAATAGGGAGACCCAAGAACCTTTTGGTTTGTTTAGTTCTTAATTTAACATTTCAGTTTTAGGTTCTTTGAAATGATTAACTAGGTTTATTTAAATTTATTAGCTAATCTAGTTCAGAACCTCATAATTTGCTAGGTTTTTGTGCATCCTTTGAGTGGGAATGGAAATGGTTGTAGAACTTGGGAATCTGTGGCTCCTATATTCTGTCGTGCTAAAGTAGAAACAAAGGTGAGTTTTGGATGCACTGCATAAGACAATTTTTATACATGTATCAATTTGGAGTCACAGACTCACAACACCGAGCTCTAGAAGACTATTCTAGAACCTATGCCACTTTTATCTATGGAATGTTACAATATACACAAATGAGTTTGTTTAGAACAAGAAAACTCTAATTGTCCAGGGATCTCTTAAAAATTAAGAACTTGGTCCATGATCTGCCTGTCTAAAGTATAAGCTAATCAAAATCTGCATATTATAAATCATTCTGATAATGAAAATGCCTCCCTGACGGGGTGGAATGCATTTGATGATTGTAAATCTGAATTTTCCACAAGATAACAGTTGCTAAGATTGTAGACAACACATGATCCACGTTGTTCATCACTCAGTTTAGATGACGACAGCCAACCCTTTAAGGCACTGCATTTGGACAAGATGCTAATATACAATTGATTTTGCATTGTGGGCATTCAGGATCTTCAGGATTTTTTCTTTTTAATCCATGTGACAATTATAGGATCAAAACCATTAAGGGTATAACTGCAGATTTATAGCAAATATATGACATATATTAAATATAAGTATCTACTTATATGATACCCATATATAGTCCATAGATAGCAACATGGACACAGATATAGGAAATGGGGATACAACTCTCCATTGCCTAAAATCCTGGAGACTAATATGGATATGGGTGTTATTATGATTCTTATATCATGTTTTTATATCTAGTTTCTGAAGCTAAGTGCCATTTCTCAAGACTTAATGTTACCAAATTTAATGAAATTTCTAATATATAGATTTTTAGTATGATTTGTTAAATCATACTGTTTTATATATTTTTGAAGTGCTGATAAGGTACATATTGTGTCTAATATTGGTATCATAGGCATTTACAAGTAGTTGGTATCAGTGTATATGCACAGAAACAAAGTAATTTCGTTGCTATATGGATTGGTGACTTTGCATACAAAAAATCAGTTTACTGGGTGGTTGATGGGCCTATATAAAGATGTTAAGAGGGTTGGATTAAGTGCAAACTTGCATTGACCCTAACCTATTGGGTTAGGGCTGGGTCAACCTTAATTGAGTTTTGGGTTGGGTTGACGAAGGCCTGTACCAAACCTGGCTCATTCACATTGCAGCATTAAAACATATAGATAGTCCACGTTGAGTATATGTGTGCTTTATGTTGGACAGATTCAATTGGGTTTAGTCAGATTGGGTCGGGTTGGTGTTGGAGTTACTTTGGCTAAGGTTAGGGTTGAGCCACCTATGCTAAACCTGACTCAGTGACATCGTAAGCCTAGAGCCATGATTTTACTGTGGTATCTATGGATCTGATCATAAGACTGTGATGTAATATGGAAAGAAGAGAAGAAATGAACAACAGAAGCATATTATATCTTAGATATGCAGTGTCATCAAGGGTTGTGGCTATAAATTCATGAGTCAGTGATCCCAAATGGAAAAAGAACATTTATAGATAACATTCTCAATCTAGTAATGCCATGTGTTTTCAGTGTTACTTATTGTATTAGTTTTCAACTTTTCTGTCAGGTGACAGTGACAAAGAAGGCGGGACATGCATTTGATGTAATGTCATCCATTACAGATGAGGAACTTAATTCTTATGATGGGGTTGTTGCTGTTGTAAGTAATCGGCTTTTCTTACATACATTCACCTCTTTTGTTTTGCCTGAGTTATAATATGGCCTCTTTTGTTTTGTCTTCATTTAGAGTAGATGCTAGCTTGATTGCAGAGAGTCTAACCAGAGGGGGAGTGATGGGGACTGATCTTCTATGGGGAAATTCTTTTCAGGGTTATATATATATTTGTATCTGTCATATGGAAATCCCTTTTGCACAGGCTTGGGCTTCCCTTTTCCTATTTTTGTCAACTTTAAGGGCTTGTATTAATACTTCTTTTTCTTCATTAACTAGTTAGTATTGCTAATTAAAATCTTTTCCAGTATGCAGCATCAAGGTTCAAAATATCAATACAGCCCGATACGCCAGTAGGGGTGTATTGGACTGTATCGGGGCTTGCTCCCTTTTTTTTTGTTTTTTTAAACCTGGTTCAGATGGGTCGGTTTAAGGCCTGTCTACCCCCCTGAACCGGGTTAAACCCCAAAACACCCCCTGTAGGGGCATATTGGGAAGCCCCCGATAAGTATCGAAATTTTGAACCTTGTGCAGCATAACGATTTGGAATAAAAGCATTGGTAAATATTACATAACAGGAAAGTATAGAAGGTTCTTTATCAATTTCCTGTGTTTGAGGTGTTGCCAGACAGATCAACTTCCATTTCTTTATAGGGAGAAACTAGATCCCTGCAAATGGACTGCAAATGTATATCCATGAAATTCTGAATGGTAGGTATGGTTATAGACTTGCCTGAAATTGAGAATAGAAGCCATATGTAATGCAGCTTCTTGGAAAAGCGTTACAAAAGACTCTTCTCCAAGAGACATGCAGTGCATTTATGTTGCTGGCTTGGTAGACTTAGTGATTTAAAAGGTGTGCCTGGGTGCACAGGTGAGGTGCATTCCAAGGTCTTGCCTCACCTAGGCTGAGGTGCAGCCCCTTTTAAAAGGCACGCACTTAGTGCGTTTGGTGCACTTTGTGACTCAGCTCAGGCATGTGCTTTTGTTTAATTATGCATTTTTTTGTGCCTCTGCTCCAAGAACCCCCTTTTTGCTAGTTCATTTGTTCTTCTTAATACAAGACATTTTTTAAAAGATAATTAAAATTATAAATCCATTTTTTGTAGGGATTAAGAATTTAAGACCCTAATATGGACTTGTTTGGGGGCTTTGGGCCTCAAGGGGCTTGGTACAAAGGTGGCTCGTAGAAATAGGAATGAAGGATGTTTAACATCACATTAGCTATTTGAAATGATGCAATTGGGAAATAAATAAAGAAGTTGAAAGTTTGACATGGTTGAATATGTTTTATATGCTATGCTTGGTCTTATTTTTGTATTTCTTCTTTGAATATGTTTTATACGTTATGCCAATGTATTTTAATGAGTTAATAGGCTTTTTAAAACATTTAGTTTAAAATCAAAGTTTGCATTTTTAATTAATACTATTTTTAATATTTTTTTTATTTATTTTGAATTTTTACATTTTCTTATTTTATAAAATTTGCACCTTGCTTCAAAAGGGTGTGTGCCTCACCTTGCACCTTGTGCCTTGGTTGCAAAATGCCCTTTACATTTTATTTATTTATTTTTTGCGCTTTGTGCTTTTAAAACACTAGGTAGACTGTTAAGCTTACACACAATTAAAGAATGCAATAATTTTATTATTGTATACAATGTTTTCAACCGGTTGAACTATTCAAACCATCACCTGACCATGATTCCAAGTCCAGTTCTAGTAAAACCTGGAATTTGTTCAAAAACCGTTCGACCTGGCTTATCGGACCTTTGGCCCATTTGACCTGGACGGTTGAACCGGTGACCCACGGCCCAAAGGCAAAAACGGTTCAGCCTCCGGGTCAGTTTTTAAAACATTGATTACATATTTGTTTATGCTTATGAAAGAGGCATTTTATTCATTATTCTTTGTTTTTTTATCAACAAGTAAAGTATTGGATTGAGTTTCTTGTAAAAATCCTTTTGTACACTAAGGGACTTTACAAAACCAAGTCATAGCCACAAATCAGCCCATTCTTTCCATTACAAAGTCCTTCCTCAAGAAACTATCAACATCAAAAAACCTATTGTAGGGTATACCCCTGAGCAAGGTATGGCTAGATAACCAAGAGCACAAAATGTCCTTAGATGTGATTGATCTATGGAAGTGACTCTGCCCTCAAAGATCCTTTCATTTATTTCGGCCCAAATACACACAAAAAAAAATAAAATCACATGGGGTGTGATTCCCCATGACACCTTACCCCTCCTTGTTCTACTCAACTCAAATCAGCTCAGCCTTAACCCGAACTATTTGGTGTTGGCTACATGTATCCCATCCTGCCATTAATCTCTATTAGGAGCCATGTTTTTGGTCAACTTGATTCCTTGTTTCACACTATAGACTTATTTTCTTTATAATGTCGATAAACTATTGTATTTTTATTATTGCATGGAATTTAGTAATGTTGAAACCATAGGCTTGCTTCTTGCTTTACCTATTATTTTCTTTGCCAAAAAGTTGGATAAAGAAAATAGTAGTTAATAATGCTGAAAAAGTATCAAACTAGTGGTGGCTGGTTCTTCTAGCACTTCTATGTCAGGATATCTTGGGAAGAGGTATATGAGGAATGAGGTTACCTTAGAAAGAAAATACATAAATACATTATGTGTGTATGTGTAATGTAATATCAGATCCATTGGGGATTTTCTTGTAACTAGTAAATGCAATATCAGATTTCTACGTTCTTGTCAAAACCCACGTAATAATGACAAGTAATTGAAGCAAGGTATACCATATACCAGTGGATTTATTGCCTTTTACTCTAAAGACCAAGCTTCAAATATTCTTACTTGAAGTTTATATAAATGTTTTCAACTTGTGGTTGAACTAGACAATCAGATTGATTGATCTATCACCTAGATAAATTTCCAAGTATGTTTTAATTCAATTCACTTTGTTGCAAAAACAAAAAACAAAAAACAAATAGAAATATTAAGTTGGTCAATAGCCATGTAACCATACTAGTTGAAGTGTTGACTTATTTTACTAGGCTAATGGGCCATGGATATAACCTTTTTTTTTATATTTTATCCATTTCCATCATTAATAACAACAGTTCTCATTTTTCACACGTATTTTTGTTTAATATATTGAATATATAATATTAAAGACATACTCAAATGCACACGCACCATAAATCTTTTAATATTTTTAATTTTTATTTTTGTTATTTAATTTATGACGTCACAAGTTGAGTTGTTTGACTGAGAGGGAAATGTAGTTTCAATTGATTTTTAGAACTTCGGTTTTTTATCAATTTTCGATCCCATGGCCAAATCAATCAATTGGGTTGGTTGACCTATCATATAACCAGGATTTAGGTCCATTTACCACCAAACTACTTGTCTTTGAAAAATCATTGACACAACCAACAATATGGTGATCTAGCTAATTTAACCATTAAACCATTTATCCTTGTTAGTGGGATCATGGATTAGACATCAATTTGCCTTTTTCCTAATTTTTGTATTCCATTTCCATCATTAAAAAAATAATTTTTATTTAACACATTTATTTTTTAATATGACCAATATATAATATTAGAGATGTGTCCATATTTTTCTACAAAATTTCTATATATTTCATACCTTATTATATATCTATCTATTTTTTAATTTTATTATATTATGACATCACGAGTTGACTCATTTGACCTAGGCGGTTGAATCATTGACTGACCACCTAGATGGAAAACTTGTTTAACTTTTAGGTCGATTTTAAATTTTTCATTCCGTTTTCATCATTAATAAAATAAGTTCTTATTTTTTATACTTATTTTTGTTTAATGTGATGAACATATAATATTTGAGGTGTGGCCAAATATCTTTCTGCAAAATTTTTGTACTTTTTCATATTTTTTCATTTCTATATTTTTTAAATATTTATTATTTAATCATGGCATGATGGGTAACATGGGTTGACCCAACATTAACCTGTCACCTAGACCGGAAAATTATATCATTTTCTGGTTAGTTTTAAATTTTGTATGTCATTTACATAATTAATGAAAATACATCTTGTTTAGCTTTTATTTAATATGATTAATATATAATATTAGAGATGTTTCAATTTTTTATTTTTTTTTCTATTTTTAAGAATTTTATTATTTGATTATGATATCATGGGTTGAATAATTTGACCTGAATGATTGAATGATTGAGCCACTGACTCGACACTTGGGCAGAGAAATGATTTCATTTCTGGGGTGGTTTTAAATTTTGCATTCCATTTCCATCATTAATATGCATTCTTGTTTTTATTTAATATGATGAAACTTCTTATTTGTCATACTTGTTTTTGTTTAATATGATGAATATATAATATTAGAGATATGCACAAAATTTTCTACAAATTTTCTTTATTTTTGTATTTTTATCTATTTTTAGATTTTTAGTATTTAATTTTGGCATCATGGGTTCACCTATTTGATGACCCAAATGGTTTGAACCGCTTACCCACCACCTAAAGAAAACTGGTTTTGTTTGCAGATCAGGTTTAATAGTACAGGTTTTGTGCTATTAAAATTATTATTCATGGTTTTAATTAGTGGAATTTAACGATGAGAAATGAAAATACGTTAAATACAATATTCAATGAGAGAGAAGTAGTATTCAAATTACAATTTCTGCTCTCACAATAGCAAGTGACTAAATTCAAAAGGGGGGTGTTTTAGTCAAGAAATGTGAAGAAGCCTTTGTCAACCCTAAGATTTTGTCCAGAAGCCTTTCTTTTTCTCTTTTCTCCTTACCTTATTCACGGTAAGAGGGTCTTATCATCAAATTTCTTAGCAGTCTGGCTTTGACAAGGATTCATTTGAAGCAAGCTCTTTAATGTAAACATAATGAAAGTTTCATGATTACAGTTCAAAGCATAGTCTTAATTAAAGGTCTAGATAATTGGTTCAGAAATCATTCAATTATTGAACGATAATTAAGTATTCAATTATTGGACAACAATCCGATTTGTTAGGATCAAGAGGGATATCCAAATCCGCCTCTTAACGGATCGGTATCGGATTCAAATCGGATCTGATCCGACTTAGTTGCAGCCCTAATTACCTGTAGCCTCAGGGCTAACCATTTAAGCATTTTCTAAGTTCTTTCCAGCATATATTCTACTTCTTGGATGATGAATTTATTGGTGCTGTAATTTTCTTTTGGCAATAGGATAAAATTTTATTAAAAGGCAATTACCCAATGTTGGTCCTAGCTCTCTGGGGTCTTGTGAGGGTAGACTGGATATTGTCCTGACCTTTGACAATTTGTTTGCACAAAGTGGCCTCTCTCAGACTTGAACCCGTATTTTACATTTGCCAGCCTGAGATTTTTACCATTAATAAGGTAAAATGAACAAGAAAAAAAAGAAATTACAAGAAAAAGGTGAAACCTATAAAAGAAACAAAACATCAAATTATAAGAATTGCAACAGGTACAATCAAGCAACCAAATTGACCTCCACTATTGTCTAGTGTGGTCCAAAAATTAGAAATAAAAGCATCTCTATTTACATCTTCTTACTTGGGGTGAATCATCAGGGTGGTGATGGCTTCTTTAATGAAATTCTGAATGGACTGCTATCTTCGAGGCACAAGGTTCCTTACCCACCAGCACCCACAGATTTTGTGCATTTATCTGGGAAAAATGGTACCGTCTTTGTTCACGATGCAAATGGAAACGCCCCTGCAACTTCTTTTCAAAATGACCATCAGGATACTTTTCTTGATAGTTCGGGAGCTACTATATCAGGCCTTCCAACTTGCAGTATGTATAATTATTACTGTATTCCATATAAATTTAACTTTAGCTTTGATTCCTAGCTGTAAGAGGTGGGGACCTGATATATCACTGGGTTTATCTGGTATTACAGGAAACAAAAGTGGATCTTGTAATACAGGTTAGTTTATATTCTGTATTTCTATAAGCTAATTAATCTCTCTTTGCTTGCATTTTATTTTTCTTTTTTTGTGGTTAGAAAAGGAAAAATCCCATTTTTCTCCAGAATATTTATAAAGGAGAAATTCATTTATTTGTAATGCTTGAATTTGACTTCTATAATTCTGTTACTTCAACTTGTGCAGAATCTGCAGATCAAGCTCCTACATTTACTTTCCCAAATGAACATTTTAGACTTGGGATTATTCCTGCTGGTTCAACTGATGCCATTGCGGTTTGGTATTTTCTTGCATTTCCTTGTTTGTATTACTTGAATCAAGCATATGATTTGTCTCATACCCAAGTTCATTTCAAGCAAACTCAGTTTGTATACATTATACATTACATCATTGGTACTGCCTTTTCTTTGGTAATACATAATTGTAAAATCCAAATTTATTTATTCCACCCACGTAAAGAGTGTAGATCTAAATGGATATGGTTCAGTACCTGGGATAAATAGAGAAAAGTAGACTCGGAGGAAATGTGTTCTGTACTTAATTCCAGAAAACATTGTATAGAGGATGAACTGTTAGTAGGAAAATTAATGGCAATCAAGTATTGGTTGCTTGCTTTAAAAGCCAAGTTTCACCATCAATATTTGTGGTAGTTAAAATTGAAAAGGCATTCATAAAAATTGAACCTGTTTTGAGGTTTTGTTAAAATGGTATCATTTTTTCACATCTAATTGGTCAACAGAATTGCTTAAAAATTGATAGTCTATAATATAAGTGTAAAGAATATTACTGAGGTTTATAACTGATGAGATGCATCCGGGATAGGTCTTGTTTGATTGGTCGTTGGCCCTGTTCCAATGGGCCTTCATGTTATTAACCAATGAGTTTTAAGTTGAAGAATCCATTTTTTGCTTGGCCCTGTTCTAATGGGCCTTTATGTTAGATGGAAATCAGAACAGCAACAGACTTAAGGTTTAATCAAGGAAATAAGAAGAAAAAAAAGTGAAGAGAGATCAGATCAAGAGGAAGAAGAATGGGGAGGAGAATAGGAAGAATGAAAAGAGAATCAATTGTTGTCTAATCCTCTCCTTCATCATGTTTTATTAACTTGATCATAATAATGTTACAATTACAAAGATACCCTTAAACATAAAAAGGAAGAAAACTAATGAGTGGTTGGTCCATCATCTCTACAATGTTATTAACCAATGAGTTTAAGTTGAAGGATCCATTTTATGCTTGGCCCTGTTCCAATGGGCCTTGTTCTAAGTGAGTCTTTATGTTTCTGTTCACAGTACAACTGGGGCTAGAGATCCTGTAACATCTGCTCTACAGATCATTCTTGGTAAAAGGGTATGCCTTGATATAGCTCAAGTTGTTAGATGGAGAACAACAACTTCATCGAAGGATGCACCCTATATACGCTATGCTGCTTCTTTTGCTGGGTAACTCCTGTTTACTTCTGCATATGGTAGTTTTTAAGAGGTTGCCTAAGATTTTTATCCAGAAGTAAATTATTGTATATACTGCCTGAAATTTGTTTTTTTCATGAATCTGGATGTTCTCTTACTGAACTGTGGGCCTTTTTTCCAAACCAAATCGGTCCTTTTGTTTTTGGAAAACCGTGAACCGAAACCAAACCAAAACCAATGGGTTAATCGGTTGATCAGTTCGGTTCTTCAATTTTTTGGTTTTTTATATTTATAATATATAAATATAATATTATATTATAAATAATATATAGGGTAAATTGCTGAAACCTCCCTTGAAGTTTAGTAATTGCAAATTTGCAATCACTTCCTCTGAACTTTCTCATACAGTTGCAAGTAGATCCCCTCTGGTAGAATCTTCTAAAAAAGGCATGAAAATGCCCAAAATACCCATGCAGTTACTATTGAGGCTGGTTTCTATGGATAAAAAACAATACAAACTTTATGAACAACAAAAACAAAGAGAATTTAAAGTTGCAGTTTTACCATCAAGTGATTAATATGAAGGGCAATTTTGAAAAATAAATCAATTTCAGAAAAAAAAATGATTCATATGAAGAGAATATTTGGAAAATAAACATTTTTGTTAAAAGTAACTGCATGGGTATTTTGGACATTTTCATGCCCCCTTTTAGAAGATTTTACCCTAGGGGGTCTACTTGCAACTATGTCAAAAAGTTCAGGGGAGGTGATTGCAATTACCAAACTTTAGGGGAGGTTTCAGCAATTTACCCTAATTATAATATATTATATTACAAGTATATATTTAAAGAACCGGTTTGGTTAACTGGATTTTTCAGTTTGGTTCAGTTTTTGATGAGCACCCCCAACTTAAATGATGGAAAATATTGCTTTTCTAGCAATTGTACTTTATAGCATCTTTTAGAGGATTAAACTCTTCATTGAGATCTGAAAAACATTTTTCCTTTAATGAATTAAAGTATTAATTCATTAATTAAAGTTTTGACTCCATATGTAACTTAAATATTTCCTTATAGAATTTTTTTTGTTTTTGGAAAAAAGGTAACGTAATATTTATTGAAACAAAAGCGGCACATACAAGCTGAGATCAGTCCCAGAAAGGCAGACTGATCAACTCAGCAATTACATACTCCACCAAGAACTAGAATGAAAAGCAACAGACAAATTACAATTTCTAAACTCCTCAGAAACTGACACCCAAGAGATTAACTTGCCCGCAGCTTTCTGGATTAAATCTTCTGGACTTAAGGCCTTATTACAGAAAAGCCTACTATTCCTCTCGGACCAGATGGACCATAAGACAGCATTAGGAATAGTCTTCCACACTATCTTCCTTTTCTTGTTAAGCCCTTTGATGTTCCAGCAACACAAAAGCTCCTTTACCGATCTTGGCATAGTCCATCTTAAGTTCATGAACTTAATCCTTTACCGATCTTGGCATATTTAATAAGATACTAATTAAATAGATCTTCTAGTAATATTTGACTTCTCATCCCTGCTTCAAATATATTTAAAATTGGTCCCACTTGGATGCAATAGTACATACCAGTAAAGCCATTTTGGAGATTTCCTTTTTTTCTTGCAATAATGTAAGAAATCAAATGATTTGTAAGTCTTTAAGCATTAATGCGAAGAAACTAGATGCCTATTGTTGTAGGATTGCCTGTTCTAATGCCAAATTGATGTAGGACTGCCTGCTTTAATAACAACTTGGTATATGATGACTATGACCAAGAGGTCCACCTAGGAAGGTAATGATTGTCTAGAATGGTTTAGGGTTGACTTTAAGACTAAAGGTAGAGATAAATTTGGTTTGGAAGGGTCTTGGGGTTTAACTACAGAATGTGCATGTTTGTCCAAAACTATGAGAAGCTTCAAATTAAGGAAAATAGGTCTATAGTTGGAAAATTTAAGTGCAGTTTGTTGGGTAGGTTTTGGAGTAGATGGTTTTAAGAGGCAACCAAGTTTGATAGGATTCAGAGTACATCTTGGAAAAAAGGCCAAAAAATCGGCTTTATGAAGAAAACCCAAAAGTTCTGAAATCTTGTGATCCATGTAGCATTTAGAAATGAGATATGATAAAAAGAAAGGTTATGAATATCTATGGGGGCATCCAAATATGGGATCAATAGGATATGGTTTGGCACAAAAGGACAAAAATGACTAGAATGCAAAATTTCAGGTTCTGATGTAAAATAAAGAAAAACTCACATAGATCAGCTTCAGTCCTTTGGGAATGTTGAGTGAATGCCTTCAGTGAAGAATTTATAGGCTATTCATGGCTATTATGTCTGCTTACAAAATTAAAAAGAAAATAATGAAAGAAGAAAAAATCCACAATTATTCAATGGGGTGCCTAGAATATAATCACTATGGGGCATGGAAATCTCTTGCCACACTTAGCAAAAGCTATAAAAACTCAAATAAACTCAAGAATGACTGATATTCTATGAAATCCAATTATAGATAGATAATTCTTCATACTATTAGGTTGAACCCCATATGCAACATGTAAATGACCAACATACTGCTAATATAGAAATACAAAAAAAAAAAAAAAAAAAACCATATATGACCACTTGTCTCCTGCATTGCTATCATCCCTGTTTTATTACTTTATCTACTATACCTACAAGAATCTTGAAATTATGTATTTAGTCCATTCAAATGTTTCTGAGCTCCATTCCTTTAAGAACAAGCCAGGATTCATATAGAACCTTGTATCCACAAGACCACAACTGACATCATGAAACAGGAAAAATACTTGATGGACATGTGGGGAAAAGGTTTGTTATGACTATAAATTGAACTAGATAGGTTTATGGTAAGGATTTTTGAGATCTTTGGGATTGTCAAATAGGGAACAATTTGCTTACAAGTTGACAAAAGATGATATTAGGGCTTGGAAGTGGCCTGATAATTAGCAGAAGACAAAGGAATGGAGGTCTAGCAATAGTTTAGGTAGGGTTTGTTCGGGTCCAGAAGTGCTTGTTTTCCTGTTTTGATAGGTAAAATAAAGTTTTCTAATAAAGAGAAACTGTGAGTAGTACAAACATCACGTACACAGTTACATCCATGAGGAGCATAACAGACAAGAAACCTTTCATGGAAGGAGATAAATATTACGAAGTACAAGAAAAAGAAAGGAGGCAATAATCTATAAGGGAGAATTCTCCCAAGTACGACTCAGTCCTCTCCAGTCTCCACCCATCCCTCTTGCCAAGGTATCAGCCATAGACATGAGTTGGCTGATCTGTTCATCCATCTGAACAAGATGTTCACTCTGGAAGTGAGGGTTTTCATCAGTACCATTTCTAAAGTCTAAACCACTTGATAAAATTTTGTGGATGGCCCCTGCAACTACCTGACCTGAATAAGTAAAAACCTCAACCTAGGACCCTGCATGAGGGCCTTTATCTCCACAAGAATGGTTACCCAGTGGTGCTGTTTTAGGTTTATAATAGAAAAGAATAACATCTGGAGTGTAAGTGTTATTTAGACAACATTACAGAAAGGGAATGACAAAGGAGTTATTATCAAGCAGAGAACCAAGACACTTTATAAACAGTGGACTTTTTGTTAATATGAATAGTATGGAATAGTAATAATATCAATCCCTTTTACTCTTTTACGTATCGTAATACTTGTGTTTCTGGGATGTTTATTGTTATTTAAAACCAGAACCTACTATCTCTGCCAGATATGGATTTTTTGGTGATGTCATTAAGGAGAGTGAAGATTACCGCTGGATGGGCCCTAAACGCTACGATTATGCAGGAGCAAAGGTGTTTTTGAAGCACAGGTATCCTTCATCCCTTAGGCTTAGTTTGTAAGTATTACAAATGCAAATATGTAGAGTGTAAAACCTTATATTTTGTATTATTTTCTATCTATTTGCACTGTACATATTTGTATTTGTACTCTTTCCAAACTGAGCCTTATGTTCAACAGTTGTGCAATGTATCCTGAGTCTGAACAACCCAGCCTATTTATAGCATGATAAACACCATACGTAAGAATCCAACTAGTGCAGTTGATCTTAATTAATATATACCTGACCTGTCAAATTGAATCAAGGTTGTACTGATATTTTATATTTGTTTTCCTTAATACATTTCCTCCTATTGTTATCTTGTTTTTTTCTTGTATTGCTTCTGGGAAACAAGCAATAAAGCTTGGATTCAGAGTTTGTCTCAAAGCAATGCTTTGGTTTTATAGAAAGATTGAAATTTGTCAGTATATTTGATGCTTGCTTTTCAGCCACAAGATGTCACTTTCTAGTGCATATCAAATCTAAATGCATTCAAGAATCACGACTCATACGTCACCAAGTTGCCTTGACTCACCTCATTGCTGACTTGACTTGAAATTTTATGTTTACGATCATTATAATCATGATATTTCCTTTCCTCAGGTCATATGAGGCAGAGATAAGATTTCTAGAAGCCAAAGCGGAAAATGAAAATCAAACCAATAAAAAAGATCTTCAGGGAAGTGAAAAACAATCACTGTGGAACCCACAAAAAAAATCTAGAAGACTGGTCTGCAGTGTTAACTGCAGTGTCTGTAGTGAGTGCCTCAAGCCAATTCAGGCACCTTCAAAAGATCCCATCATAACAGGCTACACATCTTCTGAAGAAGTAAAGTGGTTGCAATGCAAAGGGCGTTTTTTAAGTGTTGGTGCTGCTGTCATCTCATGTCGTAATGAAAGAGCTCCTGATGGTTTGGTGGCTGATGCACACCTTGCAGATGGTTTCCTGCATCTTGTATTAATCAAAGAGTGCCCCCGTGCACTCTTTTTATGGTAATTTACAAGTCTTTTCATGAGTTTTACCTCCTCTATCTCTTTAAAGTAGTATTTCTAGATTTTTACTCAGATGAGTTTGGGAGGCCTTTTCATGGTAATTTCTTTCTGTAGTATGCCATAACATGTTTTTTTTTTCAGTATCATATTTCTTTTTAAATTGTTTATTTCTTTTAGTATCCATGGTCACCCTTCAATTGCATGCCTTTTCCTGTTTTTTTTTAAGGGATTCCTGAAATTGACATGTACTTGGTCCTAATATCAGTTGATATCAACAGGCACCTTACACAGGTTGCAAGGAAAGGTGGTGACCCCTTAAATTTCGAGTTTGTGGAGCATCATAAAGTATGTACCATTATCCTTCAATATTTCTTGGTTTACCTACAGAACTTCTGTAATTATTTCGTGCTTTATGTACAGACCAGAGCTTTCACTTTTACTTCTTTTGGTGATACGAGTGTATGGAATTTGGATGGTGAGCTCTTTGAAGCACATCAACTGTCAGTGCAAGTAATACAAGGTCTTATCAGTTTATTTGCATCTGGTCCTGAAGTTTAAGGGTGTAGGATATCTCAGAAAGGGTTCCTTGTAAGAATCTTACTTAGATCTCTTGTTTATGGCATTCATGATCATTCTCACTAGGTGAAATTTTGTTGTTTCAGAAGGTAAGCATATTATTGTTTTATTGGATCAGGTTGTTTTTATGCAAAGATCTACAAGGAGGGACATGTCAAATAATTTGTCTGGAATCCTGACATGTACCATGTGCCTTGATATTCCATTAAAAAAAGGCCATTAGATAATGCTGGTCCCTGCAATCTGGGGTCTTGGAAAGGGTTGATTGGGTATGGACTAACCTCTGGCATTTTTAGCACTAGGCAACCTCTCTAAATCCAAGCCCACATTCCTCACGCTTAGCACAAGACTTTACTGTTGCACCAAGCAATCTCCCCCTCCCCCAGCGGTTGCCTTGATATTCTATTATGGATGGAAATCATCATTTTCAGTAGGCAAAATGTAGATTTATCCCAGATCTATTAAGATCAAACCTTAACTGTTAAAGGAAAAAAAAGGGAAACAAAAGCAAGAAAGATAAGTAAGGAAAGAAATAAAGAAAAGAAAAAAAAAACTTACAGAGAAACGTGGGGAAAATGATCTTGAAATAAAGGGAAGAGGTTATAACACGAATTGGGATTAAAGTATTGATAAATCACATTACCATTTCTAAAATTAAAATCAGGTCAAAATTTTCTCTTAGGTTATTTTTCTACATAAATATCGGCCACTTTACTTTGATTTTTTTATAACTTTGTTAACAGAGTTTGCTTAAAAAAACAATATTACAATAACAAAACAACAAGAAGAATAACAGTAATTATAATTAAGATGGAGATTATTAATGTTTTTAACTTTTTTCCCTTCCTTTGTTTTTCCCATTCATCATGCTTGTAAATATCTACCATTTATCTAGAATGTAGAATGTATCAAGAACATATCTCAATTTTGGTATTTGAACTCCAAATGTTTTACAGGTTCTTACTTGAGTCTGTAAGGAGACCTTACCAAAATGACTTTCACATTTCCCTGTGTCAACTTGTCACATTTAGAGTTTGATGTATTTCTTTATATTTGTTTTTTTTTTTTTCAGGGACTCTAAGGTGAAAAAAGAACATCCTAAGTTGTGGCTTTTAATGGTTTTTCACATTGCTTAAGCACCGAGTGGCTTCTCTCTCTGCAGCCTGAAACCAACATATAGGGTGATTTTTGGAGATTCAATTGCATTTTAAAATGCAGACAGAACACCATAAATATGGTATATTTAGACCAAGGTAAACATCCAATGGACTTATAATTCAGATATGCAGTTTAGAGGAGACGGTGGGAGCTTGGTTGAATTCCATCTTGATTAGCTTCTCAAGGTACGGGAAGGAAACAAAAGAAAGCTAGATTGTAAATCTATTGTAATCTACATAAGTTGGGGGTGATTTTTCTAACCCCCAAACTGCACAGAACTTTGAGTCCCTGATACTTAACTGTATTGTATCCGCATTTCTTGTGTATGTTATAGTTCTTTTTTATTGGTTGGTCTTTTTCTTTAACACCCATTTGAGATGCTTTCGCTTAAACTCAGTATGAATCTGTTATATAATTAATATTTTTGATATCTCAATGTTCCTGATTAAAGACGTGAGGCTTTCCTGCATTTTGATTCAACTAATCCAATGGAACCTCCAATTTTCTAAACCTAAGTGATCAGTTCACATGACATCAAATCTCCCTCCTATTGGATATTTCATTTCTTGGTGATCGTTACTAGAGCCATTGCTTATTATTACACTGGAAGCTTTTCTGGTCTTCTAACTGCTCGGTTAATGAAAGAGATGCATCTCTGGTTGTATCATTCTGTGAGTGTGAGAAATGAGTGGAAACCAGAGTTTCAAGATTACTATTTGGAATAGATACAGAATCAAATTTGTTGACTTGATCCAACGATAATGGTCAAATTGGATATGAATTTAACCGTCTTGATTCTTGAACACTCGAAGGTTTTTAGTCAGTATATAATGTCAGACAATATTGCATAAAGTCGAACAATTGGTATTCAAATCAAAACATAGGTACTGCATTTGGAAGTGGCATAAGCATCTTATTGCTTCTTCTATTTTTGTTTTTTCAACTGAGGAAGTTACAGAATTTCCCCTATTTGGGTAATTTCTCCTTTCCTAGAGAAGTCAATCAATGTCCATTTACTTATACTTTGTCATCTAGACCCTCTTTCCAATTTTGGTATTAAAAACCCATAATTGGAAATCAAACAGTAACCATTTTTCTGAGGAGTTAATTTCACTGTATTTTTTTATATCTATTATTATTACTTAAGTTCAAATTTAATCTTCTTTTCCATTCTTCTACTTAACTAGATATTTAGATATATAAAAAAGGAAGGTTTGATATTGAGAATTTTAACTTTCCAAAACCTGGTTAAGGATAAGAAAAGGACTATATACATTGAGATGTACCCTAGCTTAATGAGATACTCTGGTGTGTTAGATAAGTTCAGAAGAAGCAAATTAAATTTATGATATGCCTCTACGCATATTAATTTAGCAATTTTCAACAAATAAATTAAGGGGGGTTTCTCCAACATGAATTGTTTTTCTTGTTACAAGTTCTAAAAACAAAACAAAACCAACTGATTTGAAACATTGACGGTTTCAAAAACATGTATTGTTTTTCTTTCTTTGAAACAAAATCAACTTATTTTTCCTTCTCAAAACTAAAATACAGAACATGTTTTTTTTGCTGATGTGGCAATTTCAAAAACAAATGAAAACAAAAACATTCCTATTGTAGAACACCCCCTAAGCCTAAATATAAACCTCTCTATACTTAATTCTAAGCATGACCACGTCTTTTCTGAGTTAAATAACATTCTATGTTTGCATCTCTCTCTCTCTCTCTACTACAAATTAACAATCCATTGGCTTTCTGAAAACTCAAACTATATATGCATTAATGAAATTAAGAAGAAAAACCATTTTTTAATAGGTTTCATTTTTCAAAGGCCTGCTAGTGCTAGGAGTAAGAGACCATAGACCCAAAACAGAAGGAATGAAGTGGACGTGAAACCACCTTGGACCACAAAGAGACCCAATTTTGGGACACCCATGTCATTGTTCTTCTTTTCCCTTGTAGCCTTTGTAGGGTAGGTTAAGACACAATCATGGGTGCACCCAAGTGAAGTACCCTGTATATTCTGACCCAAAACGTACGTCTCTCCTTCTGTAGGAGAAAATCCCCCGTGAGATTTCTCACTGCAATGTTTCCCAGGTTTCAGCTGTAGGATTTTTTCAGTCATTTGTCGACCATTTTGTTGTATTGATCTGTTCACTAGAAGACCAAAAATGCAACTAGGCGTCTCTTAATTGTTCTACTGTAATCTTTCCTATAAAGAACTTGTTTGAGGATATATGCATGGAAGAAATCTCTATTTGATTAAATGTCTATATGCCTTTGTTTCGTTAATTTACACAGTTGATTTCCCAACTTCCTTCTGCATATGGAAACTGTGTTAAGAGATTCCAATATTATTCTTTTTTTTTGTGTGTGTGTGTGTTTAATCTTAATTTATCAGAAAAGGAGTAAGAAAGACCCTTCTTTTTATTTTAGAATTCAATAACCTCTTCCTTCACTAAACTCCATGTTTTCCAACTGCATGAAGGTGTATTACTGGGCCAGCAGGACAACTGAGACTGAACCTTGTTGAAGGCAGGAGCTCTAAAAGAAATGGGTTGGTCGATTGGCTATGACAATCCAATACGAGTTGGTTGGACTGGAAGCTGCACAACTCAAATTTAAACCTGTTTACATATATAGCTAGAGAGAGAGAGTAATTAATTAAAAACGTTTACGTGGGGTTGAATGAATAGGAGAGATAGTAGGAATGCAGAGGAAGATTTTAATGGCAATAAAGTTGCAGCTGGTCGAAGTGGGATTCCATGAAGCTGAGAGAGAAATTAAGGTTCAAGAAAGAACGGAGGGGACCAAACATTCGAGCCTAGCATTCCTCTTTAAGAAACTTTTCACATGTTTTGTTGCACCTAGGTTTTCGTTTGCATGGAGAGAGAGAGAGATCATTTTGGTTTAATACCCAAAATAGCCTTCAAGAATCACAGCTTCACATTGAACTCACAGATCCTTTAGAGCTTATACTTGGATTAAGCATCTGTCTGAGCAATGCCAAAATTGTTTATTTGCATTTGCACTGGTGCAAAAGTGCAAACCTGAAGCTAGCAAAGTAAAATCCATAACAAAAGTGAACCAGAATGTACATTCCTTTTGTTTGCACTCCCATGCATTTGTACAGTGCTAATGAAAATGCATTGCAAACAAATGGAGCCAGAAGAAAACCTTCAGATTAGCTACAAGTATGAAACATATTCACAACTCCATCGTGACTGCTTTTTTTTAATTTATGCGTTAACGTATCTGAGAGAAGAAAAATGAGAAGATATCATCTAGCAATATCATTAAATGTGAATTTTATTGTAAGGGTAAAATTGTAACTCAAGCTTATGAGAAAACCAATTATTATACTAATAATAATTACTTTCATAAAGGGAAAATTGTTCAGGAGATTTATACTACAAAATTGGATGGACAAAAGTGTCCTTGAGAAATCAGGATGTCATTCTGCTTTTTGTATATAAAGTGACTAGATAATGGAATTAAACTAGTTATAAATTTTTGTAAATATCCATTCCAGAGAATGATTATTGTAAAATATTAGTATGTTAGAAACTACACAATTAATGCAATTAAGAAGAAGAGATTTTAAGCATTTAACAAGTAATTAACTTGCACTGATGACATTTCAAAACTTAGAAGTGAACCATTAATCTTGATTTCCATGCATGAACAAGACTCTAAACCTGATTGACCAGATTAAGTCTTTCCATATAAATATACTCCAATAAAGCAGTGTTTGGTTTGCTTAAGAACTTTCCCCTCAACTTTCTTCTATCTTATTTTCTATCAAATCAGAGATAGTATAAAATTCCAAGACAATTAAGGATGTTGCATGCCTAGCTATATGGTTATGGTTAAAAAAATAAATTGAAAATTTGAACGAGGGTAATATAGTCTTTTGGCTGAGAGGACACCAGTAGAGTCTTAACTCTTAAAGTCATCATGTCTAGAATCTCTGACGCTTTTATCTCTCGTTCCATATGACGAATAATGCTCAATGACAAAACCATGAACCAAATACCAGAAAGGGAAATTTTAAGTCCTTTTCAGACTTTGTGACGCTCTGTCGTTTCCCATTGTGTCTAGGGTTTTGGCCAACCTCCACATCATTCCCTCTTTGGGAATTCCTGGTTTTCTAACATCTGCACAACTTAGCCAAATGGGTATACACCCAGAAAAGCTTGCATGGAAAATCAGGGCAGTGGTGGTTAACAGTCACACTGAACTTTTTCTTCATGCTTTCTTTGTAGAGCTTGGAATTAGGACTAATTAATCCAAGGTGAAAATTACATAAACGTCACCACTAGAAAGCAATACCTCTTAATTATAACTATGAAGATGATTTCATATGGTATGCTTGTGCATTGTAGATTGATGGTGCAAACCATCTGAATCACCCAATTTAACTCATTTGGATCATCATCTGGTGGAATTAGCCAAACAGCAAATATAGAAATGACATTAAGAACCATCTTAAGAGAGATAGATGAAAGTGGTCAATAGTTAAGATTTTTGAATTACTATTTGCCCAAAACCATGTAATCTCTCTCTCTCTCTCTCTCTCTCTCTCTTGTTTTAAATGGTCTAGCTCAGCACATAGGACACATTTCATTGCAAGCAGTACTGTGCAGCAACAAGAAAAGCAAGCAACAACAGGTAATCAAACTGAAACACAGTCTCAGCTCTCAGCCTTCTCTTTCTGCTTTCTCTCCTCTCCCTATCTCTCATTGCACCTCCTCCTTTACAATCTAAATATATATAAAAAATAATCATTTGGGTTTTCATAAACTAAGTTTCTACTTTTGATGACAGCTCTTTCTGCCCATTAATCCTTATTTAAGCTTCACCCAAATTAAGCTCTCTTACCAATAAAGCAAAACCTCCATTTGTCTGCCTTCTTGGGATTTCTCCAATTGATCGATGGTCTCTGTTTTCGACACTTGAACCAGCAGGAAAATCAGGCAGAAGAAAAAGGTTAAAATTCCCTTGTTTTCTCTCTTTCCCTAACAAGAAGACAGACAACCCTCCACTGTTTGATAATTATGGGGCGAGGAAAGATAGAGATCAAGAGGATCGAGAATACAACCAACAGACAAGTTACCTTCTCCAAGCGCCGAGGAGGGCTGATGAAGAAGGCCCATGAACTTTCTGTTCTGTGTGATGCCCACCTTGGGCTGATCATCTTCTCCAGTTCTGGCAAGATGTACGAGTACTGCAGCTCACAGTCTAGGTCTGTAAGCTTATTAGTTTTTCATTTTTCTTGCACAGCTATAGCTTTAATGCTTTCCTATTTTTCACTTCTGATGCATCGTATTGTTGCACTCAGGTTGTCAATTGTCATGTCTTCCCAGATTTTTCTTTTAATTAATCTTATTTAATTTCTGTGAATCCTCAGTGCAACATATATGTGTACTTCATATTTTATCTGCTTGAAAAGCTTCATCTGATAACATGTTTTCCAATTGACTGATGATTCAACAGGAACGTTCAAACTGGGAAAACACTGTGAACCCTAGCGTGTTCATCACTCACTGGCCAAAACATTAATTAATGGCCAGCTAGCTTGCTTTTCAAGTTATTGCACCAAACAAACTGATGAACACGATATATAGTTGATAGTTCACATGGTTTACTCAGCGTCAACGTTGGCGCATGATCATTGCTCTTTCCAATTAACGTAGTTGTAATTTGGCAGCTTTGAGATGATAATTAATTAGTTTGTCAGCCCCATTTTTCCTTGTGAAATCAACACGGCCTTAAATTTCTCAAGACTTTCTTCTTTGACTAGTTTTTTTTTTTTTTTTGGTACTGTGTGTAGACAGATTGATCCGTACAATAAGGCTGTGTTTGGATGATAGAAAATAATTAAGAGAAAAAAAGAAAGTTGAGGAACAGTTACTGAGGAATTTCACAAAACTTATTAAGAACTTTCCTTCAACTTTCTGTTTATCAAACCAAAAATAGCCTAACTTCTCTTTTGTTATTTTGTTGTAATCGTTCTGATTAATTTGTGGGCTTTATTGGCCAGGTTTTTTAAGTATGGATTTAATTGATGATTTCTCCTTTCAATTCATGTTTTAAAATCCAAAATAGGAGAATTAATCCGGCCGGTTAGACCAGCTGTGACAGGAACCAGGTCCATAAGCCATTTGATTTAATTTGATCCCTAATCTGGACATTCAAGCAATTGGTATGACTATATATTAACACCATCTACTTAGTTGCTAAACAAAACCTAGTTATAAATTTGGGTGAACTCCTTTTTTATTTGCATTGCTGGTGTATTACCTACCTTTTTCATTAGGTGCAGTCAATTGGGTGTTCTCTGAATTTTAGCATGTCTTGGTTCGATTCGATTAAATATTCAATAAGTTCGAGTTTGACTAAAAAATGCAATACATATATAATTGAACTTGAGTAGAAACTGTTTGATTAAAGTTCGATTCGATTGCACCCCTACTCTCTATATAAATGTTCTCTTACAATGTTGTGTCACAATATAATTAAAAGGAATTATAATGAGGAAGCACTTTACCTTCCAATCTGCTAGCCTTGAACCAATGTGATTGAATAAGATAGATGGACAATTTGGTGCAAAATACAATTGTCTTAAAAAAGAATTCAAGTTAATTATAGACATCATGAAAGAGATTCACTCATGAAACATCAATGGAGATGTATCTCCATTAAAGCACAGTCAAAAATTTGGGTGACTGTTGTTGGATTGATAAATTTTAGGTCAGTGTGCCTCAGTGGGAGCTATATCCATTGACTCTACCAGCCGAGCAAGTTGGTAATTATTCGGAATTTAGAATTTTTGCACTCTTGATGGCATCTCAGATATGCATGAAGTTTAGATATATAGGATGCATGTATAGATATATTATATTCTTCTATGTTTTGTTTTCAATATACTAGTATAAGGGTATATATATGCACAATTAAAGATAAATGGGTAGAAAGATGAGAAGACATTTATTATATGAAACGATTAGATTAAAGAGAAAATTATTTTCAATATACTAGGTCTTTACTCGTTAGATTAAAGAGAAAATTATTTGAACAATGTAACGATTCTTTCCAAGCACTGATATTATATGAAACTATTAAAATATTTTGAGTTTTAACTTTTATGGCTTGAACAGCATTATATAGTAAAGATGCAGTAATTTACTAACAATTGTAGTAAATAAAACACTTGTCGTGACTTAGATACTATGGTTCAGGTATGCAGAGAATGCAAAATCTGTTTGTATGTAAAAAATGATGAGATTATTGTGGATTTATTCTTTATGTACCATTCTATACTTCTTCCAAGCTGAAGAAAACTAGGTGCCCCATATTATATATTGTGGTATGAATACATATTAATGCATGCATGCATATATGTATCAATTTAGGAACTTCTCTTTCAAAAACAAGGTTTTAATGGTCCAAATGGATCATCTGAAATATACTTAAAATTTATAAAAAATAAAAAATAATTAAAAAAATAAAATTGATTGGAAAACTGTCCATCGGTTCAAATAGTTTAATGATTCAACCATCTAAATCAGCGGTTCTCTGACCAAGTCAACAATTTTCTAATAAAAGGTGGTTCAAGGGTGAAATGATATCAGTTACTTGGCCAGTTTCTGGGCTGGTCTGACCATTCGGATTAATGACAGTGCAAGTGCAAAAACCATGTTAAAAAATATGGCTAACCTCCCTAGATCCGGTAAAAAGTTGACCCAACCCGAAAAAACAGGGTTAGGGTCTCATATTTAGCTACCTGAATGTGAGAATGACTCGACCTGACCCAACCCGGAAAAAATTGGGTTTGATTGGGTTGGGTTGCGTCATGGGTCAACCTGCTGACCCGGTTGTCAAGTCTAATTAGGACTATTTATGCATTGTTAAAAGTTTCCACTCTTTAATTTTTTGCTATTTAGTCTTTACTCTTTATTGTTTACTCTTTAAATTGTTAAATATTCAAGTTTTTTATTTTATATTTGAAATTTTAAGATTAATTCTTTAAATTTTGACATTTTCATGTAGTTTTTTTTTTTAATTTCAATTATTTTTTGAGATGACCCAAATTGACCCATGGGTCAATCCTAACCCGAAAATTTAGGGTTAGAGTCTAGCATTTGACAACCCTACCCGAAATTCAACCCAAAATATCTTTGACCCAACCCGAACCCGACACACCCAACCCAATTGCCAGTTCTAAACCTCCCAATAAGAAAATGAATGAATAAATTTTAACCCACGTTTAAAAGTCGCATCATATCTTTTAATAACAGATAAAATCTGACTTAACTTACTAAAACAAAAGGCTCAATACCTTACCATATAATCCCATTCTTTTACATAAAGTGGACTATAAATTATAAATCAAACCCAATTTGGTCTCCTAAATCAAAGAAAAAGTCAAATCTAAATTTATCATATGGATAGTTGGTCCCATTTCCCAAATAAAATAAGTGAATATAATTTTCCCAGTAATTAATTAATAATTTAATATCATTTAATAACAAATCAAATCTAATTTTACTTTTCTACCTTTGAAATAATTAAAAACCCAGCAAACATAAAGGCAGATGTCTGCAATATTACATTAACTACTTGTGTATTTAACTTGAGTTGTTATTTACTTCTGTCTGCTGCAGCATGCAACAAATCATCGAAAGGTACCAAAAGGTCTCAGGAACTCGTATCCAAGAGTATGATAACCAGGTAGACTAGTCTTGATCTTGATGGTCTATAGATGTGTGTGTGAGAGAGAGAGAGAGATTTTGGGCCATTTGTTTGATGATTTAAGAAAAGCAAAACCATCAATAAGACTGTAAATTGTGGTTTTGATTTTTGTTGAACTGTTTCAGCTAGTATACAGCGAGATGACGAGGATGAAAAACGAGACGGACAGGCTACAGGCAAGCATGCGACACTTCACCGGAGAGGACTTGGCCTCTTTACCTTATAACGACTTGCATCAGCTTGAAGAGCAACTAGAAAATTCTGTTAACAAGGTTCGAGCCAGGAAGGTAATTTTCTGATTCAATTGTCTGAACTCTAAAACCGCCAGTATTCAGATGGTTTTTCATTGAAAGATGATAGAAAATAAGCACCCAATACACTAACGTTAGTGATTTAGGGTGGAATTTTAATCCACTCTTGGTTTGCTTGTACATTTGTAAGTTTAACAAGAACACCTGATTTCAATTTCTTTATGATGACACACTGAACATACAGAATCAGCTCCTGAACCAACAGCTGGACAACCTACGGAGGAAGGTAATAACTAATGACTTAATGAGTAATAAGTTCTCTCTCTCTCTCATCTTGTTTGTTGGTTTTATATATATGGCAACAGGAGCAAATATTACAGGAGCAGAACAGCCACTTGTACCGTTGTGTAAGTTCTAAACCAGCTAGCTAGTAGGTATGCTTTGTAGTTTGTACAACTCTTGATGGGGGAATGGTAATGGGTCGGTCCATGAGATGCTCAACTTAAACCCGAACCCGATTTAAACGAATAGTTGAACAAGTTGTAATTCCAAAAATGGGTGGGGTGGGAGTCGGGTCACAACTTGAGCCGGATTAGCCCGAATCTAACCCAAGGGTCTGGTTGGACCTAACCTGAGCCTAATCAGACCCAAAACCAATTTCGGCTTGGTTGGGTTAAGGCTGAAGGATTTTAGGTAGGGCTAGGGTTAGGGTTGAACAGGTAAGGTTGAAGGTCGGGTTGGGTTATTATTAAGATTTAGGGTTTAGGGTTTAGAGGCTTAAAACTTCGCGTTGAGATCAGTTGATGAAAATGGTGGTATTTGACACCTGATACTGATGATTAAAGGCAAGGGTGTAAATCAGGCCAAGTTGAGGTCTACCTTAACCCAACCTTAGCTGTTTTGGGGTTGGATTGGATGGGATCGGGCTAGGCTCAGGTTGGTCCAATTGCTCCATTTCCATCTGTCAAATGTTCTTTTCTCTACAACCAAAGGTTGAGGTTAATTTAGTTTTAACATTATTACATCTAAAATGACATAATCATCATGTTTTAGACAATCATTCAGATATATTATAAATAGATAATTAGATGCATACATACATGCATGGTTGCATATAAACATATAAGCATACATGTATATATATATATAATATTTGTATAGATACATGCTTATATAATAATTGTACATACAAATATGAAACTAAGTCAATTTTGAGTTGGGTCAGGTTGGCTAAAGCCTCAACCCTACCCAATTCAAAGTTAAATCGGGTTCATACCTTCCCTAACCCAAACTTCAATTGTTGGATTTCGGGCTAACCCAACCCAAGTTAAGGGTCACAGTGTCAGTACTTGATTATCATCTCTATTACCTGATCAGTATGATTGATGTGTATATATAATGTAATCAGCCAAGTGATCCTAAAAAATGGCACCCGTGTAGGAGCACTCAATGCACAATAATCAGTAGGGATGGCAATTTCTACCCTACCCGGTGGGTACTCACCCCTACTCTCTTTGATGGGGTAGATTTTTTTGCTTGAATGATAGGTTTTGGGGTGGAGATGGGTTTTAGGATTCTACAACCCATACAGGTATAGATAGGGCACGGTATTAGACTAAACCCAATCCTCCCTGACCCACATATTATAGGAAAGCATATAAACTTTATGTACCAAGTGTTGAATTTAATCATATTTTGAATTTTATGTGAAAGATGATTCCTTGCTTGTGTGTTTTCTACATGTCTTAATCAAATACTTAGAAATTTTGTTGTTTATTTGTGTTATTTTATTTATTTATTGCTTATATATGACAACACATAATAGGAAATTAGATATGGATTCCAAATCCAACCCACCCCTATCCTTAAATGAGAGGAAAGTTTTACATTTTCATGTGCGGAAAAGATTTGGATTGTCATGATCCAACCCACTACGAATTTTAGGGCGGATATGAGTTGGGAGGTTTAGGGAGATGGATAGGATGTAAAATTTACAAAACCCTCCCCAAACCCGCCCCATTGCCATCCCCTTTTTTCTGATGTAAAAAACCTTTTGTATTGGACCCACTTTAATTAGAGGGTCCTATTGATAAGAATGTATTGTATGTTAACTGTTGTGGACCGTGGTTAATTAGCTTATAGAGCATCAAGCGGCAATGGAGCACCAGCAATCACTGATGGAACAGAGTACGGAGCATACAGTATTGGATCATTTCGGGCTTTATGCAGAGGAGCAGGGGAGAAATATGCTTCAGCTTTCTACTCTCTCTCCTCAAATAAATCCTTACCGCCTCCAGCCTACTCAGCCCAATCTACAGGAAACTAATCTCCAGGGACATGGTTTACAGCTCTGGTACTGACCTTTCTCATTCTCAAAGAACATGGGTTGGGCCAAGTCAGAACTCATCCTCAGATTAGAAATTCCTAGCAGTGATGATTCAAATCTGCTTGAATTTGAAAACAGTTGGACCTTAAAAAACAATCCAAAAATAGAATCGTTTTGGTCATCGGTTTTTTGGTTAATGATTTGATCATTTGGTCGAATGAATGGTCCATTCTGACAAAAAATAATTAAAAATAAAAAATGGCTAAAAACCGTTGAACGGTTGACGGTTCGACCGCCCGAGTCAAAGGGTTGTTCACTGATTCAACAGTTTTTTGTCAAAGATCGAGTTTGGGGTAAAACGGAACCGATTGCCTGGATGGTTTCTAGACCAAACGGTCCGACCATCCGGGTCAATGGCGGTTCGAAAACCATGCCTAAAATGATGGATTGGTTAATTTGTGGGGTCTTTTGTTTATATAATAAATTATATTGGGTTTGGCCCTTGACGACTCAATTTGGACCCACTAATCCAATGTCCGAATTATCAATTAATTTGGCTTAGAAGATAAATATTTTTTAATATTTTAATTGATTTTTTATTCACTTACTTTTGCAGAGTCATCACTTGCCATGAGAACTTGAGAAGTGCCTCAGATCATGATGAAGAGTAGGCATAGAAAATATAATTCATAGCAGTCATCTAGTCTAGAGAAGTGCTTCTATTAGTTGAGTTGATCAGTTGATAAGAAGGTAAAGAAAGCTTGACTTCTATATAAGGTTCTGTCAGGTGGATTCAATACTTAATCCAACACTATATATATATAATTATAAAGAGATGGGTATTCTCATATTCCTGATCAAGCTTGTGTTTAAGTACCATTTGTTTTGGGATTCTCATATTCCTGATCAAGCTTGTGTTTAAGTACCATTTGTTTTTGTACTTGAGATGTTTTGGGTTGACCAAACAAATTGGCATACAACTGTTATTCGAGGCTGTTTATAGTTGAAACAGCCATATCTTATTTTTTTTAAATTGTCTTTTTTTTTCAAAGGGGCTACATGAGTAGCCCATCCGCCAAACACATAACCCCCCCCCCCCCAAAGATGGGATTTAATCCCAAGTCTCCATTACAACCAGAGTCATATCTTAAAAATGCAGTATGGAAGGTTGTTTCTAAAACTGTCAATTTGACGTTCCTTGGTCCAGGGGCAGTAAAATCCGACAATTCTAGTTAAAGTGACTCAGATATGATGTAACAATACAGTTCTCACCAATTTATATAAAGGACCTTAAACCAATCCAAGTCTTGGGTCAGTTAAGAGGAAACATACACATTTTGTTTGAATCATGAGGAAACTCTTTGATATGATGTTTGCACATTATTGGCGCATTACATGCCATGTCAGCTGGACCCTTCATGGAACACATGGTGCGTGCCTGCGTGGTTTGGCTAATCCCTCTGTTCCTTTCTTTTTTCACTTTATAGTAGTGTTAACTGAAAAATCTATCTACTTTTTATTTCAACGTGCTGCCCTTGAATTAGTAGTCTGAGCGGTCGAAATGATCTAGTTGGTGTCGACTGTTGATCTAATTTTGGGTTCCAGAGTCCAGACTACTCGCAGATGGATATCCAGTTCATGGAATCAGAAGACACCACAAGAAAATCGAATTTCATTCGCTTTGGGCTATACCTCCTCCCCCCTGTTGTGTCAGTGTGTGACCCCCTTTCTCATCTTACCAAAGAATAGAATCTCATTTGCCCTGAAAACAATAAATAAATTCATTCTCGTAGAGATTTTTTTATAGGTGATTCTCGTAGAGTGTGAAGTGATAGCAAGGACAAATATCAGGCATAAGAGAGGAACTTGGGAAAATATTTAAATAACATTACAAAACTTATCAGCTCATCAAGTTTTCTTTACATCTTCCTGCTTGAGTTGAATATACTAAGACACGGAGGCAGTTTTTTGATTTTTCAGGCCAAACAAATTCTCAAATAATTTGGGGGCCATTGGAGGAAGGTTCATAGGCTCTGGAGCCATGAAATTGACTATCTTTTCATGTACATGGTACCTGCATAACAATTCAAACATTCAATGATGAAACAGATGACAAATCATGATGACCCACTAACAAGGGGGGAAAGGGGACTCTGCCATGCTGACGGCACAGCACAAAACAAAATACAGTGCAAGTGATTCTCTACCTGATCTTGCGGCTTTTTGAAGCACGCCGATCAACAATCTTCCGTTTCTTAGTTTGCATCCTCTTTAACGCATAGAAAACAGTCTCTGTAGACAAGTTATATAATGAAGTATATCAAAATAACAACTTAATACACCAAACCATGACAATTACATTTTGCCAATTTTTATCAACTCTGGGTGCCAATTAGACCATTCTGGGGGAAAGAAGCTTGAAATATAGCAAGCTACTTGCCACTCCAGGAAATTACAAAATAGCTTCAAAAATTTAGGAAGACAAGTCCAAGTGTAAATTTAGGAAGACAGTCAGACTTGAACAAGTTTGCAATGGATGTTATTAAAACGAAAAACAATTTTATTATGGGTCATGGTGGCACTGCCCTCCTTAATCTAAAACCATTTGATTGGAAAGAGAGTCAGATTCAGCCAGTCTGATACTGATAAAGAAGAGAAAATTTTATAAATGGTCATTTAGCTAAGCAAGTAGTCTCAAGGGTAGCCTAGCTGATTGTTAAGCTAGCAAGGGACCTCAAGGGAACAATTATTTTGGGCGGCTCTGTAATCTCTTGTTTTTGTTTGATGTAATTCTCAATTTTCAGGAGAGGTAACATCCTGTGCCTCTCCAAGGGTAACCTGTATTGCTTTCACCACTTGATCTTTTTGATAATAAAACTCTCTTCATTTATCAAAAAAAAAACATTAATGGTCGTGGTGGCATCCTTCTTAAGTGTGACAAAAGGTGTCCTTAAGCAAAAGGTGTCGGGGATTGTTTGGATGTATTGAGGATTGGCTTCTTTCTTCCATGCAGCAGAGGACTACCGGGTAGAAACTCATCACAATGACATGATACCATGGGATTTAACATCCACTGGTAGGCATCAATTCTTTCTGGGAACCTCTACTCACAGATTTTACCTCATTTCTTTCTGTCTATATTGTGAGGTTTTTCTTGGCTAGCATTTGCACTAAGTGGAAACTTTTGGGGGAGGGAGGATGTCAACCTACGACACCAGACCTCGCCTGTCTAAATTAGGGTGCAACCTGGGAGGGCCTGAATTTTTTTCCCCTGTTAAAGGGAGGGTGGGTTGATTATTTCTAAAATTGGGGTACCCAAGTTTGCACCCATAGCCCAAAGTCCTTAATAGGAATATACAATCCAAAAATCTCATCCCTTCTATGATAAGCTAGATATGCAAATTATCCAAAAAATGAAATTCATCCATCAGTATATATTTTGATTAACCCTATGTGAAAAGATAGAAAATAAACATCAAAAGACATGCCCAAAGTGCACACAAGGATTTTGAGGCCATGGACATGCAGAAAAGGTTCAATCAGAAACCCAAAGGAAACTGAAGAAAACTTACCAGATGAATTTGGGTCAACTGACTCAAAGAATTCCTTCAGAAGTTGCTGGTAAAATTCAGAATCATCCAGAAGCTCAGGATCTCCGTCAACATTTGCATCCTGAACACAGTTAAAAGGAGAAAATAAATATCATCATTTCCAAAACAAAGATGAGAAAATGTTCACTTTGCTTTAGCAAAATAACAACAGAAGTGGGTTTTTATCTTCAATACCTTCCCTGAATTAGCAAAGCTTTTAATCGTAACAGCAAGGAAAAGATTAATGAGGACTATGCTAAGAACTTGTATGAATCAGCATAGGACAAAAAAGGAACTGTGAACAGGATATGGAGATTAACAAGGACTAAGCTGGGTGATTCCATGCTGACAGGATATGGAGATTCCCTTAACCTAATCTCAGAAACAGAGGAAAACATAACAGTGGAAATCATCCAAAAAAGGAACAGTCTCCTTCCTGGGGAGATAACAGCACTAAGGAATACTTTTTATGACTAAAAGAGATAAGAAGGTAGGAGCACTGAAAAGGAGATAGAATATGAACTTGCAGGTGTTCATCCAAGTTGAAAGGAGAGAGTTTTGGGGAAAAAAAATCTGAAGGAGAGATATAGGAACAGTTCTGACTAGGATCTTGTGAACCAACTTTCAATGCTGTAGAGAAGATGGGTCGTATGGCCCATAGCCCACAGTTGTTATTTCTTCTTTATTCTTCTGTTCTGTTTTGTTAATGGGCCTGTTAACATCAGTTTTATTTTGTTTAATTAGCTGGCTGCCCAATTAAGGGCTTACTTGTAATTTCTGAAAATTAGTGATTAATTTTTTAATGAAAGGATTAGGGGAAGGAGGGATAGCACGAACAACTCTTCTCACCCTTCTCACAACTGAACTCTTCTTCTTCTTCTTCTTCTTCTTCTTCTTCTTCTTGCTGCTATCTCCTTTGTTTTTCCCCCTCCTTTGATCAGTTTTCTTATTCTTTTGGAACTGTTTTTCTTCTTGGTATCAGAGCAGGTCCCTTTTTTTTCTTTTCCCTTTTTTTTTCTTTTTTTCCCATACACAGTGTGTATGAAGAGCTGAATCAAATGATTGATTGAAGAAGATATTCAGCCCAGTTGGTAGTGGTTTCTTGGAGAAAAAGGAAGATATCCTTCTCATCTTTTTAATAGTTTTTGGTTTTTTGCTCAAAAACCTTAATCAACTAGAGAAATCTGATTGTGGGTCCCACAGAAAGCTTCACCTTGGAGATCGATCCAAGCTTTGCACAGTTATGTAAAGCCTACAGGGAGTGGCTGCCCTTTTTCTATTTCTCCCAAGTTCCGGGTGAGACACAGTTGACTGTTAGGGATCTATGAAGGTTGGTACTTGGTGTTTGCCATCTGAAACTGTTTTAGGAGTTGTTTGAGGAAGATGGATGCTTCTAGAGTTGAAAATAAGATGGGCTTAGAGTCCGAACATGTTCCAGAAGCACCTATAGACTCTTTATTGGTTGTGACCACAATCAAGCTTGATGGGACTAACTATCCAGTATGGTCACAATCAGTAAAGATACACGTTTGTAGTAGAGGCAAGTGGGGAAATATTTCCGGGAGCAAGAAAGCACCAAAGGAAGATGACCCATCTTATGAGAAATGGTTGCAAGAGAATTACACTGTTATTGGGTGGTTAGTGAATTCGATGCATCCGCAAATTGGTCAGCACTATTTGTGGATGAATTCTATTAAGAAAATATGGGATAGTGTTGCTGAAACCTATTCACAAAAACTGAATGTGGCTAGGTCATATAAGTTAAGAAGTGATGTGAACAATCTAAGGCAGGGGGAGAAACCTTTAGCAGTCTACTTCTCAATGCTGAAATCCTTGTGGCAAGAGATGGATCTCATAGAAACAGTTGTCTGGGAAAGTACAAATGATGCAGAGACAAAGAGAAAATTAGTTGAGAGGAAAAGGGTTTTTGAATTCCTGACAGAGTTGAATCCAGAATTTGATATTACCATACAGAATATCCTAGCTGAAGACAATGTATCTTTGTCTTAGGCCTATACCATGGTGAGTAGTGAGGAGAGCAGGAAGATGGTTCGGGTTCAAGGGACTATTCCAGTTGACCATTTTGCTAATATGGGGTTTAAAACCTAAGATGACTATAGGTGGTACAGGGAAGAAGGAGGTTATATGAGACATACAAAGGATAAATGTTGGAAGCTACATCCAGACCTTATTCCACCCCGTTTTCAAAAGGTCGAAATTGGGAAGACCGGGAGTGCCAATGCAGCCACAGTGTTAGATAATGATAGGAGTGCCACAAATGAGAAAACTGCTAGTGAGCAGTTAGCTGTTATGAAGGCAGAGTATGAGAAATATGGGAGGATGATCAACCACCTTGAAAGTGCAGCCACCTCCTCCAACTCTTCAGGCAATCCAACTACGTCTACATTTGCTCATTCAGGTATACGTGCTACTGCCAACCATGCAGCCATCTCAAGTAATCGTAGGATCCCTTGGATTATTGATTTAGGTGCTTATGATCATATGACTTGCATTTCTACTATATTTAGCTCTTATGACTTGCTTTCTGGCCGTGATAAGATTACCCTAGCTGATGGCTCTCTTGCTCCTATCTCTGGCAAGGGAGTCATCAAGGCTACAGACTCCCTTTCCCTTACTTCAATCTTTCATGTCCCTAAACTGCATACTAATTTGATGTTAGTGAGTAGCCTAACTAAATCCTTAAACTGCGATGTAACCTTCTTCCCTTATTGTGTTTTTCAAGACCTGAAGTCTCAAAAAGTGATTGAGAGTGGCCATGAGGCGAATAGAATATATCTGCTAGATACTCCTAGATAAAGCAAATGACAGCCTGAAAAAGTTGCTTTTGGGTCTACTTCTTCAAAGTCTTTTAGTCATGTCGAGTTTTATCATCTTTGTTTGGGTCATTTATCCTTTTCTGCATTGAGTCATTTATTCCCAGAGTTGTTTAAGGGAATTAACTTGTCTAGTCTTCACTGTGAGTCATGTGAGTAATCAAAACATTGAAAAAACACTTATCATTTAAGTAATAAGAGATCCACTTTTCCTTTTCATATTGTGCACTCTAATGTGTGGGGGCCATGCCACTTGCCTTTTATGGGTGATTATCGATATTTTATCTTGTTCATTGATGATTTTTCTTGATATACTTGGTTATTTTTTATGAGATCTCGTAACAAAGTTCCCAAGCTTATAAGACAATTTCATGAATTTGTTCTTACCCAATTTGATACAAGAATCTAGATATTTAGGTCTGATAATGCAAAAGAATACTTTGAGTAAAACCAACCTCTTATCTCATTGACTTTGGGGTCATCCACCAAAGCTCTTGTGTTCATACTCCGAAACAAAATGGAGTAGTTGAGAGGAAGAATCGTCACATAGTTGAAGTTGCAAGAAGCATTTTGTTTGCCTCACGTGTTCCTACAAAGTTTTGAGGGGATGTTGTTCTCACTGCAGCATACCTAATCAATTGTATGCCATTCAAAGTTTTGGGCTTTAAGTCTCCTTTTAATCTTCTTTATCCAGATAAGGACTTTTTCTCTCTTCCCCCTCGTGTCTTTGGTTGCACCTGTTATATACACATTTCTAGTACCCGGAGACATAAATTTGAACCAAAGGTCCATAAGTGCATTTTTCTTGGTTATGCCTCCACACAAAAGGGTTATTGCTATTTTGATCCTAGTAGTGGGACTCGTTATGTCTCAATGGATGTCACTTTTGTTGAGTCCACTCCTTTCTATGATTCATCTCAAGGGGAGCATCGTTCTTAGGGGGAGTATTGGTCACAGTTGTTTGCACTCCCCCTTCATGTTCCTATTGAGTCTTCTTGATTTGAGTTTTCTTATGTTGAGTCCAAGAGGGAACAATTATTTTCGGATCCCTTCACTATTCATGTTCCTCCTCCATTGCCTCCCCATCCTCTATCTACTCACAGGTGGTACCAATGGCAAAAGACCATGAGAGAGCAGTTTGTTTCCTCTACACCACATGAGCCTCCTACACTTCTAGTTGCTAAAGAGACAACAGGTACTGAGGTCACACCCTTGCAGCCTCCCTTCTCAGACCTTGATGTCCCTATTGCCATAAGGAAAGATAAACGGAAGTGTACTGCATACTGCATTTCTAAACATCTTTCCTATGGCCTTCTTTCTCCTACATATTATTCATTTCTTTCCTCTGTTGCTTCTAACCCTATACCCAGGTCTGTATTAGAAGCTCTCTCTATTCCAAAATGGAAGGATGCTATGAGAACCGAGATAGAGGCTCTGCACAAAAATGACACATGGGAAGTGGTTGATTTACCTAAAGGGAAGGAGAAAGTGGGTTGTAAATGGGTGTACACCATCAAATATAAGGTTGATGGCTCTATTGAGAGATACAAAGCTCAATTGGTTGCAAAAGGCTACACAAAGACTTATGGGATTGACTACCTAGAGACTTTTTCCCCTTTTGCGAAGATGACCTCTATGAGGGTCCTTCTATCTTTGGCAACTCATTTAGACTAGCCCCTCTATCAGCTAGATGTGAAAAATGCCTTCTTGAATGGAAAATTACAAGAAGAGGTTTATATGTCTCTCCCACCAGGGATGTATGGCACAAACATGGAGGGTAAGGTGTTCAAGTTGAAGAAATCTCTCTATAGACTCAAACAGTCACCTAGAGCCTAGCTTGAAAGGTTTAGGACTGCTCTTGTTAAATTTGGTTACACACAAACTCAATCTAACCATACCCTCTTTGTGAATAGGAGAGGTTCATTGGTAATATATCTTATAGTCTATGTGGATGACATTGTAGTGACTGGCACTAATTTAACAGGAATTAGCAACCTTAAATCCTTCCTTCACGCAGAGTTTGAGATCAAAGACCTGGGGGAATTGAGGTATTTCCTAGGTATTGAAGTGGCTCAGTTTAAAGATGGAATCTTTATTTCTCAATGCAAGTATGCGTTAGACTTGCTCATTGAAACAGGTAAAATGGGTGCAAGACTAATGCCTACACCAATTGATACGAGTCACAAGCTTTCTGCCTCTGATAGAAAATTGTTGGAGGATAAGGGAGTGTTTCAAAGGTTACTAGAGAAACTGCTATATTTTTGTATGACTTGCCCTGACATTGCATATGTTGTTATCTGCACTAGCCAATTCATGCATGCTCCCAAAAACACACATAGGGCAACAGCAGAGAGGATTTTATGTTATTTGAAGAGCACTCCGGGAAGGGTATTCTTTTTGCTAAACATGATCATATGAAACTGGAGGCCTATACAAATGTTGACTAGGCAAGCAACATTGATTATAGGAGGTCAACTTCGAGATACTATAGTATGGTGGCAGGCAATATTGTTTCTTGGAGAAGGAAGAAACAATTTGTGGTTGCTAGATCTTCAGCTGAGACAGAGTACAAAGCTAATGGCTCATGGAGTTTCGGAGTTACTTTGGCTTTGATCCCTAATGGAGGAATTAGGGGATGAGTATGACGGACCACTAATGTTGTATTGTGACAATCAGGCTGCCATTAACATTGTCCATAATCCTGTGCAACACGATAGAACTAAACACATTGAAGTTGACATGCATTTCATCAAAGAAAGAGTGGCTTCCGAAGAAGTTTGTCTACCTTTCATTGCATCTGAAGAACAGTTAGCTGACATTCTTACCAAAGGAGTCTCCAAGGCCAAGCTACAACATGATACAACACGATAGAACTAAACACATTGAAGTTGACATGCATTTCATCAGAGAAAGAGTGACTTCAGGAGAAGTTTGTCTACCTTTCATTGCATCTGAAGAACAGTTAATTGACATTCTTACCAAAGGAGTCTCCAAGGCCAAACTATAACATGATATAGGCAAGGTGGGCATGATTAACATCTATGCTCAGCTTGAGGGGGAGTACAGAGAAGATGGGCCAAATAGCCCATAGCCCACAGTTGTTATTTCTTCTTTATTCTTCTGTTCTGTTTTGTTAATGGGCCTTCTCTTATGGGCATGTTAACATCAGTTTTATTTTGTTTAATTAGCCGGCTGCCCAATGGGCTTGCTTGTAATTTCTGAAAATTAGTGATTACTTTTTAATGAAAGGATTAGGGGAAGGAGGGATAGTACGAACAACTCTTCTCCTCACCCTTCTCACAACTGAACTCTTCTTCTTCTTCTTCTTCTTCTTCTTCTTCTTGCTGCTATCTCCTTTGTTTTTACCCTTCTTTTAATCAGTTTTCTTGTTCTTTTGGGACTGTTTTTCTTCTAACGCCGTTGGGAGCAAGAAAGAGAAGCAAGCAATGGCAAGAACTTTGAAAGTAAGGGTGCTTTCAAAGAAGCTAAGGAAGTCAAGTTCAACTGTTAGGAATTTAAGGATTCAAAGAAGTTCAAGCCCAATTGGCTTTGCAAACCACTGGATGAGTTGGTCACCCTGGAAAAGGAGCTTCCCTGATGCATAACTTTAAATTCTCCCTTCATTGAGTCAGACCATGCTCCACTAATGGTGTATGCAAACTTGGTCGTTCTAGGGGAATTAGGCCCTTATGTGGCTATATGAACCATCCCTAAAGTCGGTCGTTAAGGATGCTTGGAGAGAAAATATAGCTGGCTCTAGAGGTGGCAAGTATCGAAAAAAAATGTCAAATTTTCTTTAATTTGTCACGTGTGGAACATAACTCATTTCTATAATATTCATGATCAAATAAAGGGATTGCCAAGGAAACTTTAAGAAATCATTATAACTGACAGTTCTAAACAACGTTTTAAAAAATGACCCGAAAACAGAACCGTTCTGGCCACCGAATTCCGGGTCAACGGCCCGACCATCTGATTCAAACGGATGGCCCGTTCTGACAACAAAATTAAAAAAGTAAAAAAAACGGTCAAAACCGTTGAATGGGTCGACGGAACGGTTCAACCGCCCGGGTCAATGGTTTGTTGACTTTTTCAACGTTTTTTTACCAGATTCCAGGTTTTGGGTAAAACGGAACTGGTTGCCTAGACGGTTCCCAGGCCGAACGGTCTGACTGTCTGGGTCAACAGCGGTTCGAAAACGTTGGTCCTAAAAGCTACCTTATGGCAGAACAGACAAAAGGAATTGATAAATTTCTACAAGAGATAAGAGTAGTAGTCAACAGACCTTGAAATCTGTGAAGCACTTAATCACATCTCAGATCTCAAGGCCCCGGATCCAGATGGACTTCACACAATTTCTTCAAGAAATACTAGGCAATTGTTGGGGAAAGCATAATTAAAATTGTAGATGCCTTCTTTCATAACAGTAAAATGATGAAAAAAATAAATCAGACCTATTTGATCAAAACATAAATCAAACCTACATAGTCCTAATTCCTAAAGTGCAAAACCCCAAAAACCCAGAGCACTATAAACCCATCAGTCTATGCAACATCACTTATAAAATTATTGTAAGGATTCTGATGGGCAGATTAAGACCCTTAGTGGACAAGATAATTTTGCCTCATCAAGGAGCGTTTGCCCGAAAAAGACAAATCACGGGCAACGTATTGATAGCTTATGAAATTTTCAACTCGATGAAAAAAAAGGGCCAAAGCCTAAATGTGATGAGACATGGAAAAAGCATACAATAGACTTGACTGGAATTTCATAGAGGAATGTCATCGTACGAGGGGATTCAGCGGAAAATGGATAAAGTGGATCAAAGAGTGTATCACAACACCATCCTTTAGCATAATTATAAATGGTTTCATGGTTTGTTAGGACCCAAATTTAACACTTCTAAAGGGATTAGACAGGGAGACCAACTATTGCCCTATATCTTCATCATTTGAGTAGAAGCCTTAACTCATAAGCTGTGCAAAAAAGCAGAGGAAGAGAAAGCACAAATTGGCATCAAAATAGCCATAGAATGCCCAAAAATCCCAATGTTCCAATTTGCAGATGATTGCAAGATATACGGGACTGCTTTCCTCTCCAACTGTAATGAGATTTTGGATATTCTGAGAAATTATGAGTTGGCTTTAGGACAAAAAAAAATAAACTACAGAAAATCAAAATTATTCTTCTTGAAAAAACCTCCCTAGTCCCTAATAGGCTCCAAAGATGTTTGCAAGAAAGATGAATATCCTAATTGCTAGTAAAAAAGAAAAATGCATGGGAGCTCTGGTGCTCCAGAGTAAGAAAAGGTTAAGAGAGTCGATTGACAAGATTAAAGCAAAAATGTAAGGTTCGAAAGCCAACAATTATCAAAAGTGGGATAGGAAACTCTCATAAAAGCAGTGACAAGTGACATCCCTTTTTTATCAAATGGCATGCTTCCCACTCCCAACTCCCAAGATTTGTGTTAAAAGAAATTGATACGACACAAAGAGACTTCTTATGGTGAGGAAATAATCAAAGGAAACCAACTGCATGGGCCAATTGAAGTACATGTGTAGACCAATAAACCAGGGAGGGCTAGGGATTAGAGAGGCAAAAAAGATTAACATGACTTGTATGGAAAAAATTAGGATGGAAGATCTTAATTGACCATGAGAATCTGTGAGTTAAAACGATCGAAGGAAAATACCTTAAGGAACAAAACCTGTTTGAGATGTAGGCTTGAGGACCTTTGGGGCCATGCCTCATCTTTTCTAGTGCTTCCTTTTTTCTTTGTTCTTTTTTTGAGAAAAGTTAATTGGGTTTAACACAAACATTTGACAAAGAAAACTCACACATAAACCAAAACTTAAAACTAATTGAAGTGCATACAAGGCAGAATAGGCTTAAAAAATGACCTTAACATCACTTGATGTAGTAGGAACCTGCAAGGTAATAAGCCAGGTAAGTAGAACACACATAAGATAAACAGAATTATATATAATAGTACTTAATATTCATCACATTTGGATGCTAAGGAACTTATTTCCTCATTAAAATTGAGATTCTCAGAGAAAGACTAGTGAACTTACAGCCCCAAAAACACCAACTGCGGATCGGTGCAATTGCATGCCCTTAATCATTTTATTTGGATTCCTCATATAATCAGCAACTTGTTCACTAATTTTCTGCTCTCAGGAAAAGAAAAGAAATAAAGAAAAGGGGTAAGTTCCTTGATATCTTTCATAGACAATGAACATTAGGCAAAAATTTGAGGCAAACCTGATTAAAAGCTTTTAAATTCCCTTTGAAAGCAGCTGCACCAGTTGTCACTTGTGTCTTTTTCTGCCACTTATCTATTGAGCTGTCTCTAAATGGAGCTATTCTGCAAGATAGGAACACAAAGTCAATAACTAGCATGACTTTTGAAGTGCTTCAGCACAAAAATTATTGATTGTGTAGCAAGACTTCTTTCACTAGAGTATAAGAAAGAAAAGAATTTTAGTGATCCAAACCAGAGTCAATCCTAACACTTCAGAGCATTCAATGGGACTCAAGGAAGGTTATGCCATTGGCAGAATGCTAACATAGAACAAACCACACTGTAGAAAAAGTTTTTAACTACATCTACATGGACTAAAAAAACAAAACAAAAAAGGTCCTATGGAAAAATCATCTATTACAAAGTATTAGAACTTAGAACTACAATATTGTATGGAAAAATGTCAATTATATTTATTTTTTAGTCCAGCATATGCAAAACCATGGTGAAAAGTTACAAGGTAAACAACAGCAAACTGCCTTAATACCAAACTAGGGATGGTAGTGGATTTGCTAATATACAATATAAAGAAATGTTCTTTTAGATCAAATTACCAACACATGGAATCAGAACAAATGACTAGTCAAAGTTATGCTTGAACACTTCCCTTCAAAGAGAAGATCCAGAAAAAATATTGACGTTAAACCTTAACTAGTGCATTAACAAGGATAAATCATCCAGGACAAGGCTTCATTTGCCAAGATAACAGCAATACATTGGTTGCACTGCAAGGGCATCAATTGTGTTATTTATACTTCTAAATGGTTTCTGAAGAGGAGACTAAAAAAAATCCATATATAAATGTACCTTCTTTAATCTTTTTCTCATAGGTTTTTATAGTTCTCCATCAACTAAGTTGTATTTGCAGAAATCCAGAAACCAAGCTATAACATTAAAAAAGAAAAAAGAAGTATGCTTGTAGAATTTCTACCTTGAGAAGGTCAAGTGAATTGTTTAAAGAGTTGGGCCACAAAATTTCTAACATTACGACATAACTACAAGCTTTCGAGCATTATTTGATGGGGGCATGGGCCAACTGTCTAATAAAATGGAGCAGATAGGAACCCAAACCCAATATCAGGATAGGAACTTTGTGGAAATCAAATAAGTTTTTCAACTCACTAGCAAATATCCTCTATTCAAGATAATCCACAAAGAACAGAAGCCTATTAGAATGAAACTTGCCTAGAATAAAACATGATTAAGTTAACTCTTTGGCAATAATATAAAACATCAGCTATTGGTTTGGCAGACACTCTGGCCAAACAAGGGGTAAATAGGGAGAAGTTGTTTTGGGAAGAATTGTAACACTAATTGTTTTGGGGTTCAACCCTATGATTGGATTGCTTGGAATTTGTAACTTCCTGATATTAATCATTTAATCTATAATAAAAGTTTCTGTTTCCAACCAAAATAAATAATTAAATAAATATCAATGGCTGCCTTCAAGAATGATATGTTTTTATGTTCTCTTATAAAGTAGTGATAAAATATTGTTTGGACAAGTATAGATATAAAGATAGGCAGAATTAAAACAAGCACCAAGTGGTTTACATTTACATAATACCTGGAATGAACTTGATAAATCCGTGACCACTCTTTATCACCTTCACCATCCAAATTCTTAGATACTTCTGTAAACTTAGAAGATTCGTTGATCCCTTGGAAAGAGAAAGTATATTAGAACAAGAAAGATCTTACAAGATCCTTAGAACTCTTTTTTCTTCACCATGAAATTGAAAACAAGCTGGGAAGAGAAAATGTAGACAGTAACCTTGTTGTAATCTCTTACAACAAGAAAGAGATTACTTTGAGGGAAGAGAAAAAGAATCCAAGGAGATCCAAATAACAAAATACACCTTTAAACCAAGATCATGAGCTGACCTTGTTTTGTTATTGGATAAAAATGTAGGAGACACAAAATTCTCAGACTTTTCCCATATGGTGTAATAATTCTTTTTCAAGAAGTTAGGACTAGGCAGTAACCTGATATCCAACTTCTTCATCCAAATATAATAGCATATCATTTCCATACAAACTCATAAGCTGAAAACACCACCTTCTCAAAAGGAACCACACGTTTCATGAACCCCCTCAAAAAGATAAATTGAATAAAACTCATGATGCATTTGGATTTTTAAATTCTGTGAAAATCCAGATTCCATCATTTGGGTTTCTTTCAGAGGCATCAAATCCAGAGAAACAAAGAAAAAGACTGTTCAATCCAACGTTTTACAGAATTCTTCCAGGAGGGTGGCCATTCATTTCCATGAAATTGACACAGAATTGAAGTTCAAATCCATTCTGCTGTTACAATCCAAACACAGCTTGAAATATTGAAAATCCCACCAAAACAACCAAAGAAATGGTATAGTGACATAATATAAGCACTCAAAAAAACTCCTGGAAAGAAGCAAAAATTTGACACGTGAATAATATGGATATGCTATGCCACATCATTCATGATACCCCCACCCAAAAAAAGGAGAATAATATGGATGTAATGTCATACCATCTGTGCCTTGAGAAATAGAAGGATTCTTCTCAAGTAAAGCCTGTCAAAATAAACATAATAATGGGTAAAGAAACCAAAATGAGATTGAAAATGTAATGTCATAAGAAGAAACCAGTATCTTGTTAAATTACTGGAAGTCAACATCAAGGTGCAGATCAACATAATTGAGTATGAAGATTTACCTCCTGCAATTCCAACAAGGAATCCAAAACCTGGTTAGATGAAGTTATGAGGTCTGAATATGCTTTCTTGACTGCTTCATCAGAATCACATAATGAGGATCTCATGGGTTCCTGCAAACAATTTGTGATCCATTCACTAGATATGTAGCAAGAAGTCAGTTTTTACATTTTTTTATTCTCAGGGACAAAACCAAAGCAAAACCTGCGGTAGCTTATTTGAACTTGAAAATGCTTTCTGCAGAAGAAATCTGAACTCAAGAGATTTGTCCCATAGAACCTTCACCAGAAAAGGAACAAAAAAAAAAAAGATTCAGAGAAGTAATACAACCAATCACAAAAAGATACAGAATATATATCCTTCAGTAAGTACCAAAACAAAGAATATTGAAACAAAAAATATAACAAAATTGACCATTGTCCAAAAAACAAAATTCAGAAAGAAAAGATGTTCTGCATTTACAATCAATGGTTAGCTAGGTCAGGTGCCAGAGAAAGAGAGAGTAAAATAAAACAAAAAAATAGGTCAATGCACCATACCTGTTGGTTCTTCACAGCTTGACCTTTTAGAAGATCTTCATCCTTATGACGCTTCAAACTCTTCAAAAGATCCCTATGTGAAGAGGGAAAAAAGAAAGGGGGCAGAATCTTAGGAATAAGATTACAAGCATAACAATTAAGGCATTTTTTATCAGCAAACAATTAAAGGAGTATTCATCACTTAGGAAAGAGAAAATGGGTGCCAAAATTTTTTCAGTAAGCCTAGATGAACATGCATGTATATGCAGTATCTGTAACCAGCAGCACCAAATCAATTTCATTGAAAAGGCCCACACCGTTTATTTGTTGTAACCCCACATCAAACTGTTTATTAGATAAGTGATGCACTTGAAAAAGTTGAACAAACAAAAGGAATAAAGGAAATGTTTTCCTGAGTGTATTTTCAGTCTGTACAGGTATGCTTGCAAATCCCTATATCCCCTTAATCTTCCAACTATTTCTTAAATAATTGTCCATTTTTTCAGTCAAAAATTGTTTTTGGTAGTCTTCTATCAGGAAAAAAATGATCACCGTAATTTCAAATAACAATTCGTGAGCCAGGGAGTATTAAATTAAAGTAGGAGAAGAAAACTATAAAGCCACATTGAAACATAAAGCTACCAGAGATCAACACCATAGAAAAAGAAACACAAATAATAATTCTCCACTATAACCAGTAATATTTCAAACGTCAGATTCATGTTCCTCACACTAAATGCTTCAAGCACAGATTAATTGAAGTTATCTGGGTGATTCGAAAACTTACTGCTCCTGGTGGCGAAGATTCAAGTATTCTTTCTCGAGCTCCTCAATCTCGGCATCCTTTTTGCTAGCAATTTGCTTATCATCATCATCACCATCTTCTTCTTCTTCCTCCTCCTCCTCCTCATCCACCTCCTCATCTTCACCTTCGTCTTCCATTTCCAATTCTTCTCTGGCCTCCTCCTCCTCCTCCTGCATCAAAATCCTCAACTTATTAAGCCCCGTTAATTGAAAAAATAACATTGATAAGCCAAAAACCAATCTATATACAAATTGAAGTACCGTTTCAATCTCTGGGTCGCTCTCGTCTTCGGAACCAGCGTCATTGCGACCTACTCGTCTAACCTTCTTTGAAACTAACCCCATTTTGAACCTCTAAGAACACAGACAGCATCAAATTCACTATTATTGATAAAATCGGTTGAAGAAAGAACGCAGAATATGTTATAAGAGAATAATAACGAAGCACAAAGGAAAGTCCAGGTGACAAAAATCCGTTGACAAACAGCGATTGAAATCATATTCCAACTGGGTTTGAATTTGATAGGTCCGATGTACTGTCATGAAGTGAAACGTAAAGGTTTGCGGTGTTAGGAGTTCTTTGGATAGGCAAGGACGGCTTACCTTTGCCATGTTAAACACGGATAGAGAAGCAGAAAGGGACTCCTTGAATACGGCTTTTCTGTCTATGTATTACTCTCTCTCTCTCTCTCTCGCTCTCTCTCTCGCTCTCTCTCGCTCTCTCGCTCTCTCTCGCTGCGATGTTCAGCAAGTTGAGGGCTTGAATGGTTTATTCAGAGACCGTCGGCCTTCTTTCTGTTCAAAAGAGAAGGGGGAGATTTTAGGGCCCGTGGGGTTTTAGGGCTTCACGTCCAGACCACTACCATGTAAAAATTTTAATATATTCATTTTTCCCTTTCCGGTTACTCAAGTGCTCATCCTCTTTCTCTCTCTTGCATGTGTTGACTCGGCCGGTTGGACCGGTGGCCTGGTTTGTAGAAGCCTAGATGTTAGTCAAGTTGCGTAGTTTCCATCTAGGCATCTACCACCCATCCTATTTCTAGGATGGCAATTTTCCCCATCTTCGATGGATACTCGGGCTCTTTGACTCGTCGGGATCAGGTATAGGGAGTGATTTGGCGGGGTCAGGGGTAGGGGTGGGGCTTAAATTAAATCCTCAATCAGGTTCAGGGACAGAGATATGGAATGCAATTCCCACCCCGCCACGACCTTGATTTTAAATAATATTATTTGTATAATATTTAGGATAAATTACAAAGACCCCCCTTGTACTATGGGGTTAGTGACAAAGTCCCCCTATACTTTTTTTTATGATAAATACCTCATGAACTTTAGCCATTAGACAAAGACCCCCTTGACCGTTAAGTCAGATGATGGAAAGTGTTAAATTATCAAAATACCCCACTAAATTTTTTCTATTTTCTTTTTCTTACCCTTTTTCTCTTAAAACCTAGGAAATGGATATATGGTCCTCGAGAGTGATTTTGTTTGTTTTGATTGCTAGTCTCCTTTATAGCCCGAGCACTCTACAGAGTTCCGGAAATGACGACTTTGTATCTTGGCATAAACCCCTCCATCCCACTTCCTAGCGGCCAAGGTCAACTTCTCACCCATGCGTAGTGCGGTCTCCAGAGTCTCCGTCATGCTATCGTGTGCCGAGTCTATGATCCCCATTTTGACCACCTCCTTGGCCTTCACCTTCGCGGCATGCAAAACCACGTCGCTCTGAGCCATCGCGATTGATCTTTTCTCTTAACAACACCATGAAGAAGTCGGAAAGGGTAAGCCTGATGTCAAGCTCACTCATGTAGAGGACCCTTCCTATCCTTCCTCATCAAGACGTAGTCATGGCTAAGCGCGAGCATGAACCAGCAGCAAGGGTGTGCCCCGATACCGCTGCTATAATGGGCATAGGGAGGGAGAGCAGGTTAAGCCATCGCCCATGTGCTGAAGCCGGTGGAAGAAGTCGTTGGATTTCTTTTTCAACGTTTCCCCTATGTCGTTTCCCACTCTCTCCGCCAAACTATTTATGGGTGGAAACATCCGCTGGATTTCTTTTTCAACGTCGCCCAAACATCAGTTGCGCGGGTTTGGACGGCTCCCCTTTGCCGATGGTGACGGATGAAGTTAAGCGGAGAGAAACATTAGCTGGATTTCTTTTTCAACGTCCAACGTCGCCCCATTGCCACCGTTTTCCCACTCTATTGCAACCCCGTTGGCCTTGTGGTAGTGGTGCCACTTCTATTGTGTCAAAGGGTCCATGGACTGGTTCACCTCTCTACTCTCCAACTTTGGAGACGACACATACGGTGGTGTGGCAGAGGAAAATGAGTTGCTTTCTTCCTTTCCCTTCTCGTGCTTCTCTCGTTCTTGTTGTTCATCTTGAACGACATGAGCTTTTACGGCCTCTTTTGCATCAATTCCCTGCAAGCTCAATTACTTCCACCCCAAATTCTAAGACTCTCAATATATTTATGATCTTCTATCACATAAATATATTAATTGTGAAGATAAGAAGGACTCATATATTTATGAATCGCCCTTACAAGTAAAACTAAATGAGGGTCCAGGGCTTCCCTATAATTACAATACACAAGATAGAGTAGTACTTTAGGATTTTCTACGTGAATGGAAGGATCGATAGTCCAAGCTGTTGATCTTGTGGCACAGGGTCTTGCCACTACTAGCTGGCAATGGTCGGGTTTGGGACGGTGTGAGAGTGCTTGAGGTTACTTTTGAGCTTCAATCAAGAAAACAATGAACAATATAAAAAATGGTAGTTTGGGCATTTAAATTTTTAAATGTTCAAATGAGAATCTTCTTCAAAGTTAACGAATATAATGCTAACGGAGGGGGTCTTTGTCTAATGGCCAAAGTTTAGGGGGTCTTTGTCGCAAAAAAAAAAGTATAGGAGGGACTTTGTCACTGATCCTATAGTACAAGGGGGGTTTTTGTAATTTACCCTAATATTTATATTAGTTTATATTATTTGATTAACAATTAAAATTTAGCAAAACACTAATTAAGTAATTAAATAATTAAGTTCACTAAATGTTTTACATAGTTACACCTAAACTAATTAATTAAACAAATTAACAAATAACAAAAACTCAATTACTCAAAAGCTCTCGACTCTCGAGACTCGACAAAACAGAGAATAGAACCTGGCAGTTGAAACTAAAACCCTACTTCTCTTATACTCTTCTTCTTCGTCTTTGGTACTTCCAGTTGGACCAGCTCTAGATTTCAGGTGAGGCAACGGTCCTCTCTCTCTCTCTTTCTATCTATCTATATATATATATATATACATATATATATCTATATATATATATGTATACATATATATATATCTATATATATATATTGCAACTCACAACTTTGCAAGTTTGTTTTCCTATAAAATAGGAATCTATTTCAAAGTTCCACCGGTGATTTCATTTCGGTAAGTACAGCCTAATTTTTTATTTATTGATTAATGTATTTCAAAGAGATAGAACTACAAAAAATTTCTTCTTATGTTGGTTATTGATGCATGCAATCTGGCTGCTCCTAGTTGGAGGTGACTTGGCTCCCAGTAGACGACGGACGTGGAGAATCTGCACAAAAAGAATCAGAGAAACTGGGGGTGCTTACCCGGCGAGGTCGCTTCGATGCTTAAGTCAGTATGTGCGAGCTGAAAGTGATTAGAAAGCAAGATAGCTAGTAAGCAGTAATTGCGCGCGTACCTTGGGCTCCTGGAGGAGGCCTTTATATAATGGAGTCCTTGCGGGCTTCGCAGAGTAGTTCCGAGATCATTGCCATGATAGAATTCGTTTCCGCGTTAACTGGAGATAACATTATCAGTTGATAAGGTTAATCACTTCCCGCCCGAATCGGATGGGGAGATAATACTTAGTTGTTACGAGGCATGATCCCGCAAAATTCGGGAACCATTGGAGTGACTTTCGGGGTTATATTGAGGGCAGATCGGTATACCCGAGCTGGTTTCTACCTCAAATTGATGATCTCGAGCTAAGGCTCGTACACCTCGAATTGAATTATGTATTGGTGTCGCGACTTGGTACCGAGGTGCCCTTAGCTCGGGATAATTTCAGCTCGAACCCTTAGTTCGGGGTAGTGGAGTATCACTTTGTAGCAAGCTGGCCATGCCGAGCTGGCACCTATGTCAAGTCATGTCCACGTGTGCCCTTATTATGAGGTTGGGCCAAATCACCCTCCATCAGTTATGATTGTCCCAAAATTTCTCCATGGTCGAGCAAAACCCAGCCATCTCCCTGATTGTCGTGGATGGTCATGTCACTGTAGCATTTGCTACGAATCTCCCTGTTACAATAAGTCATTCAGTTCAGCTTCTTTAAGCATAACACAAAGGAACAAAATCACACACAAATCAGTCATTAATTCTTTTTTTTTGTAAATGATTCCTTGATACTCTATTGTTTCATATCCCAAATATCAATGACAGATTGACAGGGTTCATGAACCAAGACCAACTGGGGATTTGGGTCTCCAATGGGGAATCCCCATCGGAGTCGGGGATGGAGGAGCATTTCTTTCTCCGACAGGGATCGAGGACGAAGATGGGGGATGATTTGGAAATTGGGGTCTGGGGATAGGGGTGTAATCCCCTCCTTGAACCCGCCCTGTTGCCATTCCTACCCATTCCATCTCTCTTAATAATGACTCTTTTGATTGGATTTACAAGGTGGGTTTCTAAGTTATCTATCTAATAATAGTCTGGAAGCATCTACTTTGGTGATGTTTGGCATATGAGCGTTTCCTTTCACAAGTGGGCCCTAATTCATAAGTGATTCATTTCACTTGTTTTTCTGATAAATTAAAAAAAAAAGAGATGCAAGTTGGCATTTAAAGTGATTTGGCTTAATATTATAATATATTTATAATGACAATTGTGTGACATTTCAAAAAGTAGTCAGTATTTTCAATCTCAATGTGCCATGCCACCAATGCGATTCAAGATCACTAAGGCAATTTAATAAACAAAAATTTTACATTTCAAGAATTCCCTCTTTTCCCGAATCTCAAAGTTAACCGATCGTTAGTTATTTGATCACATGATGACATGTGCAACTTAAAATTTATAAAAATGTCAAAACTATTATTCAAAAGAAGACATTGTTCATTGTCTTCTACTTGGCATGTTCTTTCTTTGTTTTCGTTAACATAGATGTAAGAAGTCGTCTTTAATTTATTGCTCAACGATTAAAGAAAGCAAAATGGTGAATGGTGACCCAAATGTAACCAACTTCATTATTTGAAATTGAAATCACAAAACTGGACTGAAAGATTCAAATACAAAGAGCTTTATAGATATTATTTTTGTTTCCAATTGTTCCTCCGAGTGAGGATCTTTATTTCCTGATGGCCTCCAGCAACTTCTTTCTCTTTGCATCGAATAACTGCCATAAAGTAATCGTCATTAATCTAAATAACTTTAAATTTCCCAAATTTTAAATTGATATGTTATCAGCTCTCTATTTCTCTCTCACTCTCATTTTCACTCCATCGCCGTTGCCAGAGAAGACGAAGTTGTTGTCACCACAACAACTAGGGTTTGCTCCAGATTTTGGCATTTAGTGCAAAAATAAATTGTCACTATGATGCATTTTCCCAACATGGGTCTTACCAGCTGAATCCCTGTTGGGATCTTTGGAAATATGATGAAGATGTATACGCTCAGTCGCTGCCTTAATACTCTCATAGTCTCTGAATATCGTGCTGGTATTGCACCCGAAATGGAAATTTTTGAGAGTAAGGAGAGGGAGAGGGAGAGAGTGAGCGCGTAATCCTCATCAATCTTTTCAACCAGG